GCCCTGCGCGCCCCGGAGCTGGCGCCAACACAGGGAAGGTTTAGGGAGCGGAGCGCTGGGTAATCAGCTTGGCCAGGCATATTTGAGACATTCTTGGAAGGACCTTAGGACCTTCGGAAGCCAAGATCTTAATTTCCCCTTGTAGAAGTGCCCGTGTCTTGATTTCTCAGCCAGCCCTTCTGGGTTTTTTATTTCCTTTACTACATGGATCCAAATATAAAAGGACTACTCCTGGGTCCCTTAGTTTCCAGACCTCCAGTTCTAGCCCCTAGAGGCATGGCTTCCACCCAGGGCAGTTTGGTGGGTAAGGAGTTATTTCATTCTTTTCAACTTGCTCTGCATTCACTGGTGAGACGGTCAGGAGGCATCCTCTGGAGGTCTGGGGTTGTTGAGTTTCTTGTTGTATGCCTGGAGGGAAAGGCCAACTGAAAAAATTCAAAGTCGTATTAAAACTTAATGCCATGGGATACCGCTGCACTATAGCAGCCCACAGTTTGGCAGGAGAAGCCGCAGTCATAGACTTAGGCTGTGCGCATTTTCTGTCTCCGGCATAATGGCTGCTTAAAATTAAAGGTGTAAGTCAGGCTGCATCCGAGAAATAGCACAACAGTAAGGCTTCCCCAGTTGGCCTAGCAAGCTATTGATAATAGACTCCGGGGGGACAGAGGGGCCCTGGAGAATAAACAAACTGTGGAATGGAGAGCAGCAACCCCATCCCAGCCGCAGCGGGCTCAGCGCTGATCAGACTGCAGCAGGAACAACAACAAAAAGGACCAACAGCCACCTCCGGGGGCGCTGCTTCTGTTTTGTATGCATTACGTGCGGCGCCTTACTCTTCTCTTTAAAAGACCATTTTGAGGTGTTAAAGGACAGAATCCAACCGAGTGACTCTGAAGATCTCATTGGCTTTACTAAGCAATTCATGACTCAAGCAGCACCCCGTCCAGCAACTAGAAGGGCACTCGGTGGGGTTGTACAAAATAAAAGGATTTTATAGGCGGAAGGGTAGGGTGAGGGAAATGCTAACTAGAGAAGAGAAAGGATTATTCTTAGGCCACAATTTCTTCTTCTGGGATTTATCAAATCACCTTTTTGGTGTTGACCAGAAAATGCCAGGCTGGTGAAGGCTATTTTGCTGGGAGAAGGTGGAGCGGTGAGGTGAGGTGTTATATCAAGGCGTGGTTTCATGGGTGTTGCACAAGGGACGCGGTTTGGGGCCTGCGGTTTTCCCTTTCCTAGAGGGATACAGAGGTGAGCGTAAGTAGGTTTACAGTCGTGAGTATATAAAAGTTGCTTCCTGTGTTATTATTTTGTATTACTTGTATCAAAACTGTAAACCAATTTTTGCCCACCCTTGTATACATTTTATAGCTCCATTTTGCATATGAGAAACATTTTAAATGTTTGTATGTGGTAGAGCAGGGATTCAAAACAAGCCTTAATCTACACACTAATATTGTGTATTTGATCCCAGAGCACCCCCAGTCCATGCTACAGACCTAAATGTTATGTTGGTCTACCTGGGGGGTAAATTAGGTATATGGTAGGAACAACAAACAGTAAAAATTACCCAACGGGACCACTAACCACCCTGTGTTTAACTTTTTCCTATGTTTCAATCAGTTATTTCCATGTTATTCCTTCATGCAACATTTACTGAGCACCTACTATGTGCCAGGTACTGTGCTAAGTGGAATATGAAATAAATGACACAAAAACCTATACTTAAGTAGCTCCTCACTCAATGAGAGACTCCCAAAGGTAAAGGGATAACTTATAAATGATCGAATACCTTGGCAAGTGGAGTGGCATTAGCAGACAATGAAGGAGATGGGCCTGGCAGGCTTCCTGGAGGAGGAGACACCTGAGCCCAGAGGTGAAGGCATGAGCAGGAAGAGGACGTGAGAGGAGGACGGGAAAGACTGTAACAGACTGAAGGGAGAGTGTGAGCACAGGTAGGAAAAAGAGAGAAAAAGAGACGCTCGAAATTTCAAGCAGTTCATTCGCTGTTGCTGAAGTGAAAAGTTGGGAGTGTCAATCATCCTACAGGGAGGCGGGGACCAAGGCGGAAACCCTCCCGCGGCGCCAAAGGAGGGAGGGAGGAAAAAATAGTAGAGATGGTGTGGTTAAGGGAGAGAAGAACGGGGAATTACTATTCCATCACTACCTGCAGAGATAATCACAGCTAAAAAGTGTAGCCCATGCCCTTGAGTTTTCTGTTTCTCCCTGGATTTCTCCCACTTTCTGTTAAAACATGCCAAGAAGCTTCGTAACAGCTTTTGCAGCTATTTCATGACAAACATTATAATACTTCTCAGCCAGCAGATGGCGCTAAGTCTATGTAAAATAAACATTTTGCACGCTAACGGTTTTTAGTGGGTATTTTCCTCCTACTTATTTTAAAAGAAATTGTTTTCACAATACAGTACATCATTTCCCTAAGTATGGGGGATCAACAATAACCATATTTCAGATTAAGATAGTTTTGCTTTTTACAACATTGTAGAGGTGTAATAAAGCCTAACTGTCCATTTAAAGCACCTGGCCTTGGCTAGCGTTAATTCTGATCAAATATCATTTATCATTTCATAGACGTGTACAGTGTGTATGCACTGTGCCTTCATGGCTTGCACGTCTGGATCCGCCCGTTCTCAAAGGATTTTTCTCAATCCTGGGAGCTCTGAAATTTGACGGGGTCCAGAACTGCATGGAAGGACCGCCTCTCAGAGCCACGGGGTCGTTGCCTGACACTGGCTGCTGCAAGCTGGATGATAAAGATCATGACCTTTTTAAAAATAAAAACAAATTTAATTTGTGCTTTCCTATATATTATGGAACATGGGTGTTTGATATAGAAAAAACTACCAAATCCACGGATATGTTAAGTTGAAAAAACAGAGTTTTCATCATATGGGGGCTATAGTCCAGTATTCCTGTTTATTGAAAAAAAAATAAAGGCAAGACTATTTGGAATTTTGAGATGCGATGACCTACCAGGTAACGACACTGCTGAACTTGCTAGTGGCGGGGAGGGAGCACACGGAACTATCATTTGTTGAGTCCCGCATGTGTCAAACACTTTCACACATTCTTACTAATCCTCGAAATGACCTTCCAAGTAGGTCTTGTGACTTCTGATTTACAGGTAAAGAAACTGAAGTTCAGACACCCCAGCCAAGTAGCTCAGTTTGTTAGAGCATCGTCCCAATATGACAAGGTTGTGAGTTCGATCCCCGGTCAGGGCACATACAAGACTCAACCAGCGAATGCATAACTAAGTGGAACAACAAATCCGTGTTTCTCTTTCTCTCTCTCTGCCTTTCCTCTCTCTCTAAAAGCAATGAAAAATATATCCTTGGGTGAGGATTTAAAAACAAGAAGAAACTAAAGCTCAGAGAGTCAAGAAACATGACCAAGCTTAGTACAATTCCTGGTATACAGTAAGTGCTCAATAAATACCTTTTGAAGGGTGGTAACACACCTAGTAAATGAAGTGCCAGGGTTCAATCTTAGATCCATCTGGTTAGAAAGCCCGTACTATTTCCTTCACAGTACGCTGCCTTCCGTGTGACACTACACAGAATTGCTTTAACATGGCTAAGAAATTCCACTGTCGATGTAAACATGGTTAATAAATCCAGGACCCTGTGATTTCTACCTTCACATCAGAACTATTTCAATTTCAAAAGGTATGCTTGGTAAGGAACGAGGAAATATAGAAAACATGCACAGAATCTTCAAGGGCTCTTTTAATTTTTAAACATACACAGCACATGACAGTAATATAAATCCATATTAATACATTATATTTACATGGAACATTTTATTAGTTAATACTTGTCCCACTTTGTTGTTGTTATTGAATTCTGCCAACTTTAAAAAATGTTGCCTATGAAAACACCACCCAATATGTATTACATTAACTTGATGAATGTTGGCTGTTGTGCCTCTTTTCCCTCTTTGTCCCGCACACCAAAACAAATTATTTGAAAATGCTAAAATGAGTAAAATGCAGCATGCTCTCTTAGCTGCTTTGTATCCTGCAGTAAAATATTTTGCAACTATAAAAGTTGAAGAGGACTTAAAATATGTTATTACAAAAGATGATGGCCAGAAAAAAAGGCTATGTCCAATGAACTACCTGGCTACCAAGACAAAATACGTTTGCTTCTTTCAAGATCTAGAATCTTAAAATATCATTTGATAAATTTAACTGGAGTTTCTTTTCTAATTATGTTTCACCCCAAATTATGTCATGTATAATAGCTATATTTCTTTTACCTGGATTATTTAAAGAAAAACCACTGGATTCTAAAGACAGATGAATTACCTGTTGAACTTAGGCAGAGAACTAATCAATGGAAAAAATACTTATCTGGTTGGGTAAATAAACTTGAGAGGATCAAAACATTACAAAGTAAGCTGTTTCTAAAAATACTTAACTTGAAATGATGAAAAGTTATTAAAAGCTATTAAAGGCCTTTCCTGAAGGCTAGCTAAAGCAGAAACGACCTTAAGAGTGGCACAGTTACAAACGAAGTTCCTCACCGAGGCAAGAGGTCGCGGTCAGTATCAGGAGCTGAGGTGTCATGTCAGAAACGGCATTAGTCTGTCCCAGTGGTTTAGAGAGTTTGAACCAGTATATCCTGGTACTAGAGAAAATCTGAAGCAATACACCTGGTTGGGTTAAAAAGACTTACATATCTTTGATTTGTTACATTTCATTGATCTTTTACATACCACTTTTTAAAACTTTAAGATGAACATTTGTTTACGTAGTATGAAATGATTTAATTATTTCAATGCAAGCTTAATAAGGCTGACATTCAGTGGAAAACAATGAAATAATATACCCTTTAGTAATTGGAAAAACTAAATCATTTTATTATCTTCTTCTTAAGGGTCCCTTATTAAAGCTTATGATTTTTATTAATGTGAATAAGCCAAAGTGACTGTTTCAATGCGCTTCTCTGCACATAGTGCGACGAGCAGCTGCCGCCTCAGCCGATCTTTAACACCCTGTACATGCTGTTCTGGAACACCGTGGTGAAGTAAGGCCGGGCATCCTTGAGCAAGATGCTGCACAGGGGAGGGCTGGCTGCATTGGAGGGGTCTTCTAGATCCCAAATTTCAAGCATGCTGCAGCCAGGCCTGAAAAAAGAAGGCACAGTAAACTGTAGTAACAGTGCATTCGTATCCAGGGGAAACATATACGTTATAGAGCAGCTCCTAGATTTCAAGAGACCAACTTATCCAATGAATTAAAGATTTTTAAGGCACCATTTCAAAAGGCGTAAGTTCAACATTTGGAGATAAAAATGAAAACAAGCAGGTTGCATTTTCACATTCCGCATAATCAAATAATCAGTATATTGTAAATCTGACAAAGGATCAGTATACATTCAGAATGATATATTTAAAAATTCATTTCCAAAATATAGATCAATATAGTTTCTAAGTGATATCAGCAACCAAACAAAAGGCCCATTAGTGTGAAATGAGATAAATTTTTAAAAAGTTCACATAATTCCCGACAAAATTCGTATTTTTGAGCTTAAATTGATATGGATTAGCATGAAAACACATAGTTCAAAACAGGAAAAGGAAACTCTTATGCCAAGTCTCTTCTCCTCACCCTTTTCCCACTGGGTGGCTCTTGTGGGTGGACTACGTGAAGTAATGCTTCTCCCTAAAGAACATTTTCCTTAATTATTTGAATGTGTTTAGAAGAGCAACTTTGCAGACTTCGACTGCTAAGTCCAACAACTGGGTCTACTTAAATCAGTTTCCACCAACATTTTTCCTTAGTAGTGGTCAAAGTGTCCTTTTTTTTTCACGTCAGATAATTTTTGGTTGTAAACTGGACACTGGGAATTACAAATTGCTGCGATTCTGGAATCTGTCTTATTCCTGTGATGACTTATTCTGGTCTTATTCCTGTGATTGTAGTCACTGAACCTGCCTGGCTCTCCTGTCCTGCGCCACAGCTACCTCTGCTCAGTTTTTTCAGGTTCCAGCTATTATTCATTTGTACAATGTCTTTATATAAACTGTATATTGCAGTCCATCAGATATACTCTTTGCAATTGTTTCCTCCCAGTCTGTGGCTTGCCTTTTCATTTTCTTAACGTCGTTTGAGGAAAAGACTTCAATTTTGATGCATACTTACTTTTTTACGGTTAGTGCTCTGTGTTCTAAGAAATATAATTCTAGCTTTTACATGTAATTCTGTAATCCATGTCGAGTTCACTTTTGTGTGTGGTATAGTACGGGACATGGCTCAGTTTTTCTTCTATGCAGCTCTCCAGTTAGTTCAGCAGCATTGCTGAGAAGACTCCTTTTCCATTCGAGTAAAAAAATATCATTTTTTATATTTCCTTTGTGCTTTTTATTTCGACCCATAGTTATCCATAAGTTTACTGCCTAGTTCGCGAATAGGTATGGATTTACTAAGTATCTATTGCTGATTTCTAATTTAATTCTGTCTGATTTCGAACCACTTGAACACAGGGAGATTGCTTTACTGGCCCAGCGTATCCTCTCTTTCGACGACTGTGCCCTGGGCGCTCTAAGAGGGCACACCCTCTCCAGCTGTTCCCTGCAGTGTTCCATGAACGCCAGTTAGACCGCGTATTTGATACTGTTTGTTGTGCGTATCTTTTATAGCCTTGCTGGCTTCTGTCTACTTTTGTCAGTAGAGATGGAAATGTTAACATTTCCAACTAGGACTGAAGATTTGTCTATTTGTTCTTTTAGTTCTGCATATTTTTACTTTGTATATTTTGAAGTGATGTTTAGCTTCTATATAGTTACAATTGTGGTGGTTTTTTTTGATGAAGTGATCTTTTTGCTAATATAAAATACCTATCTTTATCTGTGGTAATAAACCTTGTTTTGAGGTCTACTTTGTGTTATTAAATTTTAAGTTAAATTAATATCATATGCATGTTCATGAACATTAAGTTGTTTCTATTCTTTTGCAAAAAGATATATTTTTTAGATATCAAAGTTATATCTAGATATATTTATTAGATATCAAAGTTATAAATAAAAAGAAGCTACTAAAATTTCTGAACTTAGCTTTTCAACACTGTGTTAAAACCTAATTCCTAATTAATTCCTAATTAACCACAGGAGAAATGAAAATGTTCAACATTAGGCTTAATACAACTAAGCACCTCTTAAAATGAAGGAGTCTTTTTAAAAAAGCCTCAAGATACCCATTAAACATTTTTGAATTTTATGATTTTTAGAGATTCAAAATTCAGAAATTTAAAATTATTTTATTATACCCTTTTGAGTTATGTGAAACTTTTCTCATAGATCTTATAAATCCAATGTAATTCAGCTGTAGTAGAAGAATGCTAGTATCTCACTCGGCTGTAGATTCAAATGTGCATTTCACACATCTAATAAAAATTGCCATAAAAACTTGAAAAATATGAAAAAGCTACATTTAAGATAAATTAAAATGCAAAAATCAGGAGAATAAAATACACTTTAATTCTTTGAAATTAAATTCTACTTAATATAGTATAATTTTACTTTCCTACATGAAATAATTTTAAGTAAAATATTTTAATGAAATTTATTTAGAACAAAACTTCTCTAGGAATCGGGACTACTTTTAATAAAGTAAAACAGCTGTTGCTTAAAAATATGTGCTAAGGTTCATACTCACTTAGTTCTCACCACACACCACGCTTCTTCTAAAATGAAGTAATTCACATGCAATCCCAACAATTTATCTCTTACTTCTTTTGCAGGTTTTCGACTATATGTGGAATAAACTATTTTTGTCCGGGCCCTTTAAATTTAAAGACAGGTTAAAGAAATTTTAATAAGTGATAACAGAATGGAGTAAAGACGTTTTTCTAGCAAATTAAAATCTCAATGCTCACTGGATGGAGCATTTATACATACGACCCCAAGTGGCACAAATTAATTTGGGAGATAGCAGTTTCCACACTCCTTATATTCTGCACGTGCTAAAATGATCAGCAGCGTGAATTTTGCATGGATTGCTTGTTTATTAACCCGTTTAGAATCTAGAGTTGGACAGCAGGATAATCATTCAGAATACAAAAGTTGCCTTGTATAATTCATAAAATAATTAATCTGCTCATGGAACACATCCAGGGAGAGGCTAAGCGCAGTGCACACATAGACCTCAGTAGGTACGCTCATCTGCAGAAGCTCTGAAGGCTCTCGAGTTGAAGCCGAGCGCAAGCAATGGGCCGTCAGGCTGCGGGCACGGAGGGCGGGGCGGCCCGACGAGGCACCTTCCGAGAGGCCCGCGAAACGGGTGTTCACCAAAGCCTGGCACGACACCTGACTTAGCCCTCAGTGGGAGTTTTTATGATGAAATCCTGAACAAATGGCCATTTACGCATCAGACATTTCTTAGGAGGTTCCAGAGTATGGGATGCCCAATCTCCACAAGCAGACTTGAAATTTTAATTTCAAATTTTACCCCTTAACAAAAGGCCAAAATATGCATGCAAAGGAAACGGTCACCCTGGCAATTACTAGATTAGGATAATTTTTTAAAGCCAGTCACTTAAGAACTTAAGAACGATTTCCAGACTTCAGTGGGAACTGGAGTTCTCGTAGCCGCCCAGCGGCCGAACACCCTACGTTTTCACCGAAGCGTGTCCCACGCAGGTTCCCCACGCGCCTTCCGGCTGGTTAAGAGGCAGCCGGTCGCTGAGCCGGCAGCGAGGCGGACAACGGTTTCTGAAACCAGGCGGCGGGGCTGGACAGCACGGCCACGGGCCCCCCGGCTCCTAGCGCCCCGCAGTTTCACGGCAACGTGCGCGCACGCACGCCCGCCCTGAGGCTCGTGCTCACTCTGCGACACGTTTCCCACTTTGGCAAGATTGGCTTTCGCTTTTCTCGGATGCCAGAGCTGTCTGAGCTCGCTGGGAGGGGAGGGCCCACGGGGCGTCCGGGCGGGCATTACGCATTTTTATCCTGCCGCGTGGCTAGGAGGGCAAGAGCGCGCGTGCGCCCCCGTGTGTCCGAACGCTTCCCGGTCCCCGAGAGTCGCGCGAGCCGCGGCGCGCCCGGTCGGCACGCTCCGGCAAAGGCCAACCTCAGGTCCGCGTCCTCGTAGTGTGGGTGATTCACAATGGGGCGCAGAGTGGACAGCTTCACACTCGCCATGGTCGGCATGGCCCCCGCGAACACAGCATCTGGAAAAGATTCTGCTCCTCAGCAACACGTTTCAGAGAAAACCAAAGTTACTGATGTATCCCACGGAACCCCGATTAAGAACGCTGGCGTGCACGTAAACAATAGCCCTTGGCACCACTATTTTTCTTCGCTCTATAGTGATTGATTGTCCACCACAATGACAGCCGGCCTTTGTTAAGTGTCATCTTGCTGCCAGGGACTGTGCTGTGTGTTGTTACTGGGATTCCACGGCTGAATGTGCACAGCTAGACAGGCCGGCTTCTGTGTGGTTCTCAGCGTGTAATGAGGAGGCTGACCCACGGCCACGTGAAGTGACTGGGCCGAGTCCCCGCAGCCCCCTGCCCCCACTACAGCGCCGCCCTTCGGCCACTGCGCTAGGACAGAAAGAGTCGCACAATTTCACATCCTGTCCTAACCATTTAAAACGCTAGGAACGGAAAGGCTGGTAGGTTGGCTACAGGGCAAGTCATTTTTCAAAATGACTTTTGTGGGTTGTGAGCTATTGTCCTGAGAACCTGCCAGAGCAAAGCCTTGCTTTCTTCCCTCAGATCCCCTTTAAATATTCATAATTAATGTGTCTTCGTTTCTGTTGGACTTCATAGTTTACACTTGGAATCAAAATACGTGATTACTTACTAGTAGCACTTTTTGTAGTAATGGCACATATAAATGTGTTGCCTTTGGATAACTTGGATCCACCCAAACCTACACCATCTGACTTCACTTTTGGTTTTGCCTCTTAGAAGACAAAACGACCAAATGACTGCTGCCTGGCACTTCTGTATAACAAATTATTATATAATTATCATTATTATTATTTAGTCAGCACAATAAAATCACGAATAAGAACAGGCATGTTACTTAGATCTACTATAAATAACCAAATGTTCCTTTTCAACTATAACCAAGCATTCTAAATGTAATTTTGAATTAAAATCTCTTCATATGCCTTAAACTTGAAAATATTTAAGTCAATTGAAGTAGCAATGTGTACTAATTAATAACGAGAAGCTCTCAGGCTGGAGCAGTGGGTCTCAGCCAGGGACAGCGTCCGCCCCTGGAGCCACTTTGCGCGCGTGCTGTGCGGGCGGATAGGGGCCAGGGCGGCCGCGGCGGCCGAGGGGCGGAGAGAAGGGACGCTGCTGCTGCATTTTCTGCAGCGCACAGGGCAGGCGCTCACGTCCACAGCGCCAGCCAAGGCTGAGGAGCCCTGCGCTGGGGGGACCCGAAGCCCAGGGCCGGGGTCATCAGGAAGACGCTACGCAGGCCTGTCCAGCCAAAGCTGGCGCCACTGAGGAGAAACCACCCACGGCAGAGAGAGGGGGAAAACAGGAGCGTGACAGGGAGAGAATGGGTTATGTTCTCAGAGATACACGGGAGTCTCTGCGTAGTCTGCGGTATGTAGCAGGGAAAGGTGGCCCTCTGACTACGGAGCCTCACTGACACACGACACGGCGAGAGGACCACAGGCTGGATTTCAGCTCCCACCTTCCCCTTCGGCGAGCACCTGTGTGCAGCGCGCGACCTACAGAGCCCTACACGGCGGACCTGAACGTAAGCACTCGCTGCACCCGCACTGCTGAACCGATAAACATGGGGTAACCATAAGAGAGCTCACGCTACAGGGATGGAACAGACTCCTAAGAAGACCAAAGAAGCGGTGTGGCTAAAGCTGAGGGAGGAGTTTGTGAGAGATCTCGCAGAAGGGTGAGTGGCCAAACCTAGGCACTCTGCGACAGGAACCCGCGACACCCACTGGAACAGCCAAGGACACAAGAAAAGGATTAGAAAGCAGGTCCCTTTTAAAGCTCGGGGGAAATTAGCTGCAACTGGGGAGGGAGAGAGAGAAAAAAGCTCTGCCTACCATGTGCTCCTACCGGGAAAGTTCAATAGAGGGTTAATTTTAAAATTCTGATCCACCTGGCCTGGAATCTGCAGGCCATGAGGCACTGTCACCTTTGAAAGCCACAGGCCAAACATCAGAGATGGAACTTATAAAAGTTTACCTGTATGATGACCAATTAGCAAAGTGGCGACTGTCAAATAAGACAGAAGAGGAAACTGACTCAAGGAGTCACAGGATAAATTTAAATAAACCACAGAGCTTGTGCCAGAGAAAGTTACTACACATCAAAAACAGTCTTAGACAAGATTAGAGATTCCTTACAGAACATACTGTTGAACATATTCTCCAGAAAGGCATTTAAAAGTGAAATAAACATGTATCTGCCTGAGGTGGTTTTGCATAAAGGAAGAAAAAAACGGGAAGCTACAAATAGTAGGACAGACACTCAGCTCTTTGAAATGATCTGGTGAACAAAATAGAATGTCAGGAGTTTAACCTGTGACTGGTTGGACAGAGCCGGAGCAGACAGCGGTGACTCACGTGTTGTTAACCGCCCCGCCCCGGGCCTGCTGTGTCTGTGCCAGTCGTCTGCCACAGGTGTGAAATTCCGTTGCTAAAGATTTATTCAATGTGTAATTTGTTACATTTAAAAGACACTAACAATCTCAGAGTTGCAGCATATAACTGAACAATTCTTAATTCCTGGTTTTAATGAAAGTTCTTTTGGACGGTTACCTAGGAGGGTTTAAAGAGGGCACAGAATCGCTTTTGGAAAAGCATTGATTTGGTGGACATTGCAATTAGCATTCTCAAGGTCTGAGGAAGTGTCAGTGGCTCTCTCTATGTGTGTGGTTTTAAGGGTGTATGTATAAAACTAGCTATGCATGAAACCAAGCAGCTACATACCTGGTCTGGTATTGTGTTTGATCCACAGTATCAGTTCTTCCTGAGGCAAATTATTAAATTCTCCTATGATGCTCCACTGATTATGGAGGTTTGCACAACCCTGTAGTGACATGACTGTGAGGAGGCCAAAGATAAGATTCTCAAAACGAACTCTGCAAAAAAGCCAGCCAAAGAGCTGGAATGAAAGAAACCATTTATTTATAATTCTTATATGAAGAGTACTATAGGGTCAGTAATAAATTCTCACCTTGCTACTTGAACCAAGGCGGGTTGCTGTTTGACATCAGCAAGTACACTAATCACATACAGAACTATCATCAACTATTGTTTAAAAAGAGCAAATATTTTGGAATTACAGGGTCCAGTTATAAGTTCTTCTGAAAGAACTGAGGAACACCTGGTCCTTCTAGTACTGATTTATCACCAGGGATTACGATTAGCCAATCACACTTTTGAAACATCCTAGAACTAAGTCCTGTAACATCTGGCTGCTGTTTTTGGACATCTTTAATAATGAGGGAAACTGCACTAGTACAGATACATATATTCCCCTTGGGAAAATAAGCATCTGATATTCTACGATAAAACTCTCATGATCAGAACTACATAAGGTATTTCTAGAAGCACATTGGTCCCCACATTCTAGCTACTTTGTCCAGTTCTTTTGCACGGCAGCTGCAGCAATGGCACCACAGAATGGACAATGTTTCCCAGAGACCCTCCGAGCCAAGCAGCCCAGCACTGAGCAACTACGCTGCGTCTACTCTAGAACCGGAAGGGTGGCAGAGGGTACTTTTGACAGGACCCTTGTGCAGACCTACACTCCAAAAAGCTGTGTCATGGGTGGGTTGCCCACAGAGAGGAGAACGTGCCTCATCACTTGTCTTAGAAATAGCAGTTAAAATCTAGGAACAATTTTCACAGCTACTTGAAGTTGCTTTTCTTACTCTACAGTGAGTCATGAACTAACATTTTAACTCATCTAAGATAACAGCAGTGCTTTTATGTTCTGGGTTACTCCGCAGTCATGGTAACTACACCACAGCAGCTACAGCTACTGCCATGCAGCCGTTCAAGAATGGACGCCTTACCCGTTGCGAGCAGATCAGAGAGGCTATAACGCACATGTGAGGGGTCAAGAACAGCTTCAGCCTCATGATCAAAATGGCAAGAGCCGAAAATGCGAACAGCTGCAGCGTGTGAAAGATGAGCTGCAGAAACAAAACAAAATGACAATTGAACTTCATCTGTTTTTAAATTGATAAACATAAAATTAAATGTATTAAAACTATTATTATTCATTAGGATGAGGATATTTTAACTTAGTAAGAAGTCTATCAATATTTACTCATTTATTTGACAAAGATTACTTGAGTGCCTACTATATGCTAGGTGCTGTTCTGGGCACCTCGGGTTCAAAGGTGAACAAAACAACAGTGAGCAATTTCTGCCCTTGCGAGGCTTCCATTTTCATATGTTTCGTGGAGAGAGACAGAAAATAAACAGACGAAGCAAAAATAAAGCCATGATGTGGTCTCTTAGGAAGTGGGGAGTGCGATGGAAGAGAACATGGCACAGGGGACAGGGACTGGGGGCACGGGGGCGCGAATGAAGCAGGATCCCCAGGTGGGCCCCAGGGAAAAGATGGCACCTGAGCGAGGACCCCCTTGCTCAGTGAGGAAGTGAGCCCGAGAGACACAAAAACATGCAGCGCGGCCCCAGCCTGCACGTCATTCAGGCAACAACAAACATCATAGCGAAACATAAACCAAGTTGTTTTGAAAGTAATGGAATTATAGAAATATCTGTACTAATTAGTAGGACCCCCCCATTTTGATTGCAAAGGAGTTCTGCTACGGAAAGTTTTCAAACAAAACTTTTCTAACACACAGTTGTTAGAATATATCCTCACTAGAAAAAGGGACAAAGAATGAACTCAACCAAAAGTGGCAACTAAATACTCATGTTCCAACACTCAAAGAGATTAAATGTTAAAGATAATAAGGTATTTTCATCTATAAAATTGACCAATAATAAATTGACCAATAACTAACGCCAAGTGTGAGAGAGGATGCGATGCCACGCACCAAAGTGGCAAACAGGGCGTCTCTGTAACTCAGCATATTTGTCAAGGCCTTAGGGGCCAGTCAGTCCCTTTGACTTAACTCTCCATCCTGGGGACTTAAGGGAATAAGCAAAACACAAAAGTGCTTCTGCAAAGATGATCACTGCAGTGAATTTTTAGCAGCAAAAATAGAAACAACCTAAGTGACCAACAGAGAGGAATGAGTAACTAAATAACTGCATTCTCACATGTACACAGATTACATGTGGGAGGGTGACTTGATGGCATGGAAAAGCATTTGGAGTGTCAAACTCTGTCCATGCAGGATGATATGAGTTCTGCGGACACCGTGTGTGTGTGTGTGTGTGTGTGTGTGTGTATGTGCGCGCGCGCACGCACACACACACACACACATGGGGGGATCTAAAAGAACATATGCCTAAAATGTTACCCAGAGCTGTTTCTTTTTTTTTTAAGTAAAGATGTTTAAAATTGAAATTTGTTACTTAATTTTTTCCTAATTCTTGGACCCAAAGTTGGAATGTGGAACATTGATTTCAAAATCATCTTTGGGCCAAATCAGAGTCATGCTGTTGGGGTAGAAGGGGAAGGCAGAAAGTTAAGGAACACCATGTTTCTAAAAAGAGGCAGGTTTTGAGTGCTGTGCAGTAGACTATGAGGTGTAGACTGTGTGCTGGTTTGTAGACCCAGGGACTGTGACACGGCTGATTCACATAAAGGCAGTCACGTTTGGTGGACCCTTCTGCCGCACGCTGGGGCTCAGCATCCCTGGGCCACGGCGCCGGCTGCTGCGCCCCTCTCTGCCGCAACGTGTTCATCACTGGAGTAGAAGGAATGGCCCTTCCCTCCGAGGGCTGCTGTGAGTAGGATGCGAACGGATCGACATCAGGAGGCAGGCAGGGACTCTGAGGGCCCTGGAAACAGGCTGCTTGGGTTCCAGGGCGAGCTGTCCAGCCTCTGGCTGGGGGGCCTCAGGGGAGCCACTTCTTTCTCTAGGTCTCTGCTTCTCGGCAGGACGCCTTGCTCGTCTTCCCGGCAGAGAGCTAGCAGCGTGCAAGTCCCACCCAGCCTGCCTGGCCGTCGGGTGGGGCCCTGCGCCTGGGTCGGGCTGTGGGCGGGTGGTGCCGCGCGGTTTCCAAGCCCAGACCCTGCAAAGCCTCCAGGGCACCCTCTGCCCTGTTCCCGCTCCTTCGCAGGCAGGTCGATGCCGATGGCACAGCAGCCCCAGGCCACGTGTCCCAAGGCAGAGCCCCAGCTGGAAGGAGCCTGGTCTCTCAGTGCCTCCTACCCAGGAACGCCCGCTTTAACCTCATGCAAAGAACTAAACTACTACTATGTTATGTCAGTGTTTGTCTCTCTACGGGCCAGTATCACCTAATTAGTATCATTTTCTTATTTGAAAAATGGGAATAATATTATTATGAGAATTAAACAGCACAGCACATGGCACATAGTAGCTATTCAAAGAAACAGTAGTTATCATTGTAAGCTATTCCTATGAAGTTCAAATTTGGTTGCCCTCTCTTGTAAGTTTGAGCCTTTGTTAAGACTAAGAGTTCTATTACCTGGGAAATCACACCTCCAGCCCGTGCTGATATTCCCCTCTATGTGCCGCACGACGACTTAGTACCACGTACAGCGCGGCCTCCTTTGCTTCCCGTCCCCAGCGAACGCTCGCGCACGTCTGCGGGCAGAGGCATGGCCACGCTGCCCTCTGTATCCCGCAGCGCTGCCGAGGCTCGCTCGCAGGCCCCCTCCTGTTCCCGCGGGGCAGGAACCCGGCCACAGGTACCCGTCAGGGTGGCTGACGAGCTCAGCGGGTAAGACATTAATGTTTGTTATTGCTGAGTAAGTGAAAGAATAAATGAATGAAGGCGATTTAATTGAATGATGCTCTATGGTCATACGTCAGCCTTCTAGCTTTCCAATCCTCACTGCTGTTCCAAACAGCAGATTAAAAATGGGGAAGGATCAGCAGAAATGGATCAGGGCAGCAGACCACACAAGCCCTGCTGGCGGTTGTTGCCCCCAAGGCTGTACCTTTTCAAATGGGCCTTGGGTTAGAATGTAACTCACACATCAACCAGTGATTAAAATGAAGGTTTTACCTCACCATGTTCAAGGAGCTGTTTCCTGGAAGAAAACAAAAATATTTTCTATTTACTAAATGTCCATTATACTATGGCCACATCAAAATAGATTTTATTTCTTCTTAGGTCTTAAAAATTTGATTCTCTCTAAACTACTTAGAAGCATAAAGAAAAATACAAATATTAGATAATACCATTAAAAATTACAGTAATTAAAACACATGATTTATAATGATCCTTCTTAAGGTATCTTAAAAAGACATTTTTCTTAAGATAAAACAGGTTTTACTAATTGCTGCAGATTGTATCTGTGAAAGGATAAATGAATAAAAAGAATGTCTATTACACAGTCAACCATGTACAGGATATACAATACTTTAAATAAGCATTGCTGAATGGTTTTCATTTTTCACAATTATAAATACCATAAACAACCCTGTACACAAAACTGTGAGCATCTCTGAGTATTTCCTTAAGATAAACTTCTACAAGAAAAGTGACTGAGTAAAGTCTATAAACATTTTTAATTCCAGAAAAGCTGTCTAACAAATTTACGAAATAGTGCGGGCTGACCATGGACGGAATTTGCATGGTGCTCCTTCTGTGCCCCAGGTCCTGTGCAGTGAGCACAGAATGGAGAGCTCTGATACTGGTTTGATCCTCACCGAGTTTATATTAGATTCATGTAAGAGCATGAGCCTGCCTATTTTTATTTTCCATTCAAAAGACCAGGTATTTTAGTTTTATAGTAAAGTTTTACAGGATACAGAGGACTTCAAATATGAATGTTGGAGTTGGAGAGAGAAGTAGAAAAGCAAGAAGTTTAAGGCCACACACAGATCTAGAGATTTTTTTAAAAAATGGGTCGTTGGGAGACAGCCTCTCCAGATATTAGTGAAATCACCCAAATACGTTGCCTCATTTCGGCACCTTCTTCACTTATGCAGTCAAGGCTGGGGGGAGGGGTGGATGGCCTCGCTCTTTTCTTGATAGACTATTTTGCCTGAACATCCTATTTTTGAGCCCATACACCCACGAGGCCATCGCTTCCAGGTACGTAACCCCGAAGAGAGACCTCCTTATTTCGAGCTAAGTGCCTCCCACCACTGGCCTCCCCTAGCGTGCCCTCTCCCACGTGGCACCCTCTCAGATACTTGAAGAGCCCTGGAGCTTCTATTTTCTGATTTAAAAACCCAGTCCCTTCACGCAGGCCTTATGGGAACAGTTTCCAGGGATCTACACACACTCTTTCCAGAATGTCAGGAGCTCCATCTGAGGAGCTGTCAGCTTTCTCGTTGCAAAAATGATTTCAACAAGTAAGAGTCTACCATTTCCAAAACTTCATCCATAAACGTCTAATTGGCATGTCTGGCAACCACACAGAACTTTACTGAAATATAATCACATGGTATGAGGTTCATGAGAATTCTGTGCTATCATTGCCATTGTTCTGTAAATTTAAAACTGCCCTCAAGGTGTGTATTTCTGTAAATCTAATGACATATCTACATAAATAAAATGTGAGGTAAGATTTTCCTTGGAAGGAAATTTTTTTCAACAACTTACTTTCATGTCATATTTTTCTTGCATATGCTTATTCCATAAATCTAGTGACTTTATCAAAACCGCAAAAATGGGATGGTACCAATAGTTCTAACAGTAAATGTAGAAATAACTATTTCATGAATATTCAGAAAAACAATTATGCTTTCTCTGAAAGTTAAAAAAAGAATTGCCCAAATAAAACTTTAGCATGCTTCTGTTTATTGACTTTAAATTCTAGTCATATATTAAAATTAAACTAAATCAGTTTAAGTTTTGTGTTAATTTACCAATATAAATATCTCCAAAACAGATCCAAATACATAAAAGCCATCCCTGAGACTATACATTGCCTTCATTTTTAGAAAACATATGTTTGGTTCATATCTCCTTTCTTAATTATAATGCTGAAGTTTAATGTCCATTCATTTGAAAAGCTGATAGGACAGTATTTAATAATTGAATATAGTATGATTTAGAAACAACTATGATATAATTACCTTAGATAAGTGTTTGTGGATAAGACACATAAAATATCACGAAAAGCCTGTGAATAGAATCAGATCGATGAAACTTTTCTAAGAAATTACATGACATATAAAATGCTCTGGTTCATTAACATAAGCACAGCAGTAGAAACAAGTGCTTTTATGACTTAAGTGGGTCCTCGGGAACAGTTTAGGCCCAGCTGTGCCCAGGCAAATAGTACCTGGAAGTCTTAACTCCCATTAATTAAAAAAAAAAAAAAAAAGATTTAGAGTAAACCTCCAAGGTCCACTTCAGCTCTAAAATTCCAAGCTTCTCCACACGGGCCGCTCCTTCCTGGAGCCCAGTGTGCATGTCACGGAGGTGGGTGCTGAAGCTGGCGCTGGCAGCTTCCTCCCAGCACCTCCTGGAGCTGCTGCTCCTTCACCTTCCAAGCGAATCAGGAAGCTCACACACACTCCCTCTGTCCCTCTCTGTCCCTCTTTGTCCCTCTCTGTCTAGCTTCGCCGTCTGTCTTGCCTCTTCACCAGACCCCTGACGGCTACAGGGTTCTCTGTGGCACACGGGCTTCCCTGAGCCACCTCAGCCTGAGCTCCCCACTCTGGGGGCTTCAGAGCACAGGCCTGGGGTGTTCACGTCGTTCTTGCCATATGGTGGGTGGTCGACATACTTCTTTTCAGAGGAAAAACTACGGATACCTTTTCTGACATGGCTTTCTAAAAAATACCATATAATACTAGATAATAAAAGAATTTTAGGGAGGGAAACAGTTCATCCTAAAAATAAGAATTCTGAGCTATTATCATTAATGTATAAGTCTATTATCTTGAACCCAAAGAAATAAATTTTTTTTAAATACCTTTTTAAAGATGAAGTAAGTAATCACCATTACAAGTGGAAGCAATAATGTCTTTGTGTATCTCAGTGGTGTCTGAAATAAAACAAATTATTCAAAATAGCCATTTATTTAATTTTACATTAAATGAGTAAAAATCCATGTCAAATTGAGTGTTACAATGAAATCTTTGAAAGTAGAACTATCTTTGTCATTAACAGAATATATATATATGTGTATATATATATATATTTAGCAACCTTGGTGTTCTAATATAAGAACATTTAAAAATAGTTACACAAATTTATCAAAAATTTTAATGATAAAAGTATTAAACCAAAAATTAGATATGTCCATGATTTTTTCCTTTTGGGGGGGTTTATCCTTTCTTTATTTACATAATATTAAATTTTATAATCTGTATCTACTGACCCCTGGGCCCTACATTATCGGTTCCTGGGCTGCAAACTTCCATTGTTTTCATTCAGCAAAACTAGGCCAAGTACTTACTGTAAGTCTGAATAAGTTCTGAAGCCATGTCAGCAGCTGAATAACTTCCATGACCTGCTACCGCGATGGGGAGCGATTTACCGTGTGCCTACAGTGTATGTTTTTTGAAGGCAGGAACAGAGTCACTTTCCTCTTTGCAGCCCTAGAGCAAACTGTCTCACAGGCAAGTAGTGGCCAGTAACAGTTTTTGAATGAATGTATGACTGGTTGAATAGACAAGAGACTAATGTGATATTAATGCAATAATGTGAGAATAATGTAATATTTAGGGTATTCAATGAAATAAAACTGAATTTTTAAGAAATCTACATAAGAATTTGGATGCACTTTTCCAGAGTGGTCCCATACCTCCAGCTGACCTAGGTTATTAACAGTAATTGAACCGTCACGACAGGAATTCACCGGGGACCATATAACGCGTTAACCGCCTCCCTGGGTTATCACCTTCAACCACCGTCAGCAGCTCTCTAGGACAGAAGCCATTGTTTACTGCTTTCACACATAAGAAAGCAGGTGAGAAAGGCTGTATGATCAGCAAACGTATAGTAGTATAGTAGTTACTGTACTATATGTTACAGTAACACAAAAAATGATAGGGTAAGTTGGATGTTTCTAAATGAAAATTTCGAGTTTCGGATTCAAGAGAAAACTTAAGAGCTAAAAACCATCATACCCGTAGAAAAGGAAAACAAAAAACCATACCGCTTTTTCCATAAAGTCAAATTCGGGAGCACAGGTGTAGATTAAGGTATCGAAATCTGTGTACCCTAAGATTCTCGCAGCTATAAGGTCACTCAGGCGAATCTGGAAGGAAATAGAGTCAGACAAACTAAAATGGCACAAATAGTTACATACAGTCAGTGACAACTGATGACATTGCAGTAATGAAACCGAGAGAGCACAGAAACCCAAGGAGCATGGATGTCCCTCAAAGGAAACAACATACACTGAACGATACAAGCTCTACGCTGAGGCATGAAAACGAAGAGTATCAAGGGAAATGAGAAGCTGGAAGAGGTCGGAAAAAATAAGCAGAGAGGGTAACGTAAAGAGTGAGCTAAAACTTATATTTGCGGGGCCGAAACCACTGTGCAGTTAATTATGAGACTGTATAATCATATCACTTATCAAGAAAAAACCTATTTCAATTTAAGCCCTTTTACCTCACGTTGTAAATCATGAAAAAACCAGCAACACACATGAACAAATGTGCGTTGTCATTTCTACAAAGTCTCAAACATTGATTACAATTTTTGGTGCTTCTTGAACTTTTGGGACATACATTCAAGCCATTAAATGTGGGAGCTATTATTCATGAGAATTACAACAAGTACACCTACGACTTTGATTTGGTTACTTGATCCCCAAGGCCTTTAAAATAAACACTACCAAACAAACCCAACGTAGAACTCCTTTTTGCTACTGATTATTCATTACCTACTGTAGGAGAGACAATTATTTTTTTCCACAGCATTCTCAGGGGGCCACAAAGAAAGGAAAATGTTTGGTGCATTCAACCTTAACTCGTAATATTTGATGGGGACAGAAATTATTTTAGATCAAGTTTATATGATTATCTGTGGTTTTCTTTTCTTCATCGTTCCCACTATCTATCTACCAGTACGAAGGATTATTTAGTTTCCTTTATTTTTCTAATTTAGAGTAGGTCTGGTGACTAACAATCATTTGACCAAAAACAGTTTAGTTTCAGGTCTTTCCCACTGCTGTTCCACAGAGGAAGTCACTTCAGAGTGCCAAGGCGGGGTGTGTGTGTCGGGGGGGCGCGGTACACGCGTGCATGGTGTAAGATTTGTGAGTTGGGTAACAATGTAGAGCAAGGCAAGAAAAAAACACACAGACCAACTTAATATTAAGATAAGTAAATAGCTTGGGAGACCTAAATAAAGTTGATCATAAACTACATAATCCCTACAGAATAAAAAAATAAGAACAACAAAAGGGGAAATTTAAAAAAAAGAAAATGTGCCAGACATACTAGAGGGCACCAGCAACGAATAAACCTAATAAACGACCATGTAAAGCTGGCAATAAATAGCAAATACATCCTTACATTTTAAAATTTTATTTAATATGAACATGTATGAAGGTTCAATTCCAATGACTAATGATAGCACTTGATCTTTTAGAAAATAAATAGAATACTCTTGCTAAAGCTGAAGTAATTTCAATGTTAGACAGGGTCCTAACTGGATAGTAGTAGATAAGGTAAATTTCAGAGAGACTATTATATGATACACACATGTATGCTCATATACATATAGAAAGTGCTAAAAATCAAAAGTAAATTCATGCATAGTTCTCTATTCCTTAAAGTAATTGGTTAAGTAGGGACATATGTTTTAAATAGGGCCATTATTTAAGGCATTAGTCTTAAAACAAACAGAAATGCTACACATGAGGGAGAAGTGGCCCATATATTTCCTCAAAGAGAAGAAGATAGAAAAATCTTTAACATATTCTTTTTATAAGGAAAATATTTTAAAATATCAAATCATATTTTAAATTTAATCCATAATTATAAATAAATTATATTGAGATTTTAGGAGTTGTATATTTCAAAGCTCAGTATAGATTGTTCATATGTTAATATCTGCAATAAATGACTAATTATCTAAGCAAATACCTATTTGTACTTTAAGTGAAATAAAAACAAACGACTACTTAACATGTTAATTTTTCCTAGTAGGCTAAATAAACTCTCATTGATACACTTTTTTCTTAGTTGATTAAAACAGTCATTGAACTGCAGGGTTGTGGCATTGACACTACCAGTACCTTGCTTGGGGACCTTGAGGAAGACACTTAATCACTGTAAAATGAAGAGCTAAAAGTAGATGGTTTAGAAGCTTTCAGCCAGGTATACATATTTATGAAACTCTTTACGTTTTAACTAGGAAGTACTTACATGGTCTGAAACGCCCAAGATTTTAGATGTCAGAAATTTCAAAATGATTGTTCCACATAACCAACTGCAACCTTGAATTAGCTAAAGAATAAATAAAATAGACATGTCAGGTACTAAAAATTACTCAGTTAAAGTATTCAATTACATCAATAAATGGCATAGAAAACTTTTAATCACTTGAGGCATGTTAGTGATGAAAGTCTAAAAAAGGATGTTCCAATAGAAAACTGGATATACTTGACAAAAAGTTGTGCCACTACCTTCTGGCCCCCATAGTTTCAGTGAGAAGTCCGTTGTAATTCAAATCAGTTTTACCCTATAGGTAATGCATCATTTCTCCCTGCCTGCTTTCAAAATTCTATCTTTTTCTTTAGTTTTCAAAAGCTAAATTATGATGTGTCTAGCCATGGATTTTGTTGGATTACCCTTCTTTGGATTCAGTCAGTTTATTGACTGTAGATTTATGTCTTTTTCCAAATTTAAAAAATTTTTAGTTACTACTTCTTCAAAACCTTTTTCAGTCCCACTCTCTTTTTCCCCTCCTGTTGATACAAATATTAGATCTTTTGTTATTGTCCCACAAGACCCTAAACCTCTATGAATTTTTCCAGTATATTTTCCTTTAATTTATATATTGGACAATTTCTTTTTGTTGTTCTATATTCCTATAGCACTGGACTGGAATTGGGGGATATAATTATGAAATTATGTCATACAGATTTCATACATAAAAATACAGACATGTGAGTGTACATACAGATACATACAATGAAAGGGTCTAGAAGGAAGGACATGCTGGTAGCAATGAGAACACTTGGCACTCAGATATTGGTTTCTAAATACCATTCTACACTAAAACGAACTAAGGATCCTGGGAGGAATAGCTGACTCCAGAGTCTGGGGAAGGGAAATAGAAGTAGTGCCTGGAGCATCTTGTTGAGCCATAATGTAAGAAAGCACATAAAGAATTATGAAGATATATCAAATGGGGGAAACATTCAGCCTGAAAAGATTCACAAAGGCCAAGTCTGCAGCTGATATTTGTGTATGATATAATTTTTCCTATATTTGTAACAAATTATTCTAGCATCTCATTGAAAAGTGACTTGAAAGGTAACTGTTATAATTGCTTTGACTCTAAATATCGACTGGGGAGAATTGACATTATATAGAGTCTTCCTATGCATAAACATGAAATTTTTTCCATTTATTTTGATATTATGTGTTAACAACTTAAAAGTAACTTTTTGCAAGAAAATACTGAGTGTATTTAGTTAAATTTATTCAGATACTATGTGTTTTTTTCTTCCTAATATACATGACAAATTTACAAAATGTGTTTTCTCTTTGTTGCCAGAAAATAGAAATATAATTGACTTTTCTATATTAACCTTATATCTGCCATGCTATTTAATTCTTATAAATTCTAATAATTTGTATGAAAAATTATTTAATGTCTATGTAAATAATGATATTATAATGACTTTTGATTCTTCCTTTCCATTTCCTTCTTACTACTGTTTACTTTCTTGCTTTAATGTGCTAACTCAGGCCTTTAATGAAAAGTGAAAAAACATATTTATCTTGATTTTTATTTTAAATAGAAAACTTCAAATATCTCAACTGTAATGCCAGTGAAAATGCTGAGGAATTGTATTAAAAAGAAAATTTCTATTGTGCTAAGTAAATGAGTGTTCAATTTTATAAAATTCATTTTTTGCATCTGATCATAAGTTATTTTCCTTCTTTAGTCTGTTACTGTGATAATTTACATGTCTGGAATGAACCCAATTTGATCAGAATAAATATATATCTGTGTTGAGTTGCTAATAGTTTTTCCAAGTTGCCACATAATGGTAAAGAATATTAAAAATAGATTTTGGCCCTGGATGGTGTAGCACAGTGGGTTAGGCATCACCCCACAGATGAAAAGGTCACTGGTTTGATTTCTGGTCAGGGCACAGGACTGGGTTGCAGGCTAGGTCCCCATCCCCAGGCGGAGGCATGCACAGGCAACCAATTGATGTCTCTCTCACACATCGCTGTTTCTCTCCCTCTCTTTCTCCATCCCTTCCTCTCTCTCTAAAAATAAATAAATAAAATGTGTAAAAAATAGATTTTGATCAATCACGAGTGACAATTTTTCTGTGTATATTTTTCCTGTCATTCAATTTAAAAATAATAATAACTCCCTTGTTTTCAAATTTTTTAGTTGTAATAGATTAAGATATGCAATATAATCTTTAGTCCACTACCATAAAAGAATTACCTGAGAAATAAAATCGGTTTTTTGGTAAGAAAATGTGTTAGTTCAAAAAGTATCTTTGCTTTTACTTTTGACTGTCTTCTATAAAACAACAACAACAAAATGCTAGAAAAAGCCAGAATATCTACTGCATCGTTTGTTTAGATGACTACCATTACTTGTTTCTCTCTTTTGCAATAGAATTATACAAGTTTCAAAATATAAGCCGGACATTGATTATTTCTCAACTTTTCTCTCCTTAGAATTATGTTTCTTGAAATTATTGAAATGAAACCTTATGTTAACTTTCATTCTTTCTAATCTATAACTGAAAATATTTAAAACAATAGATTTGCCTGAGAACAGCTTTGATGGGATTCTTTAAATGTCCATGGACACTATTCTATTTGTTCTCATTTTTTGATACCTTGTAATTGAAATTTTTAATTTCTTTTGAGTACAGTTGTTACATAAAAATTTTCTGTTGATTTCTTGGCTTAATCTTTAAAACAGAGTCATTACTATTTTTTCTGAAGTAAAAAAATTATATATTAGAAGAGTCATGTCATCCAGTAACTTAAATGTACAAATATTTCTTCATGTTCTCTGTAAGGGATGAGAGAATGCCTCAAATGATGAGAAATGGCAATGCACTCCATTTTGTTGTTCTGTATTCTGAGTATAAATGTACTTTCCTATCTTACCATAACTTTCCCACTTTTCCTTTATCAATATGTAATCACACAGTTCTTCAACATGGCAGGTTTCGTTTTTTAATAGAAGTACACCAGAGAAAAAGGACAAATGCCACCTGCTGATATAATGATAACTAGGAATTGCAGTGCTTACCTATTAATAATATACCCATTTTACTTGGAAACAAAACACACAAACCCAGAAGTAACATGAGCCATCCATCTGTGTATTTGGGAGGAAGTCAAACAAAGATCAAGTGGCGTCTAAGCTGAAATAAGAAGAGGCTGGGCAATTGCAACGAAATGCTAAAGGGGCAAAAATACTAGAGTCTAAAGTTGGAAGCAGGAATAAAGAGAGACAATGGACAGATGTGGAGAAAATAAAAGGGGAAGTGGGAAGAGAACTAGAAACTTATTTTGAAGAGAAGGTTACTTAATCTACAGAGAGAAACTCAAGGCAAATGGAAAGAAATTTTAAAAGTCAGTCAGTGGGGGTAGAGCAGACTGAAAAGTAAAGGAAGAAAGACTAAGGGTAGTACTGAAATAATCCAATGTTTCTTTTTTAAAAAAGATTTCACTTATTATTTTTAGAGAGAGGGGAAGGGAAGGAGAAAGAGGGAGAGAAACATCAATATGAGAGTGAAACGTCAATCAGTTGCCTCTTGTGTGCCCCCAACCAGGGACCTGGCCTGCAACCCAGGCTGTGCCCCCAGCGGGGAGGGAACCAGCGACCTTTCGGGCAGTGGGCCAGTGCCCAGCCCTCTGAGCCCCACCCGCCAGGGCCATCAACAGGTTTCTGAAAAACGACTTGGAGACGTTGCTAAGAGCTATTTCCCACTTTAAGCAAGTAGCTATTTATAAGATTTATTAACTGTAAATCATTCAGTTTTTAAGTACATTATCTTATTCAATTTATAGAAATAAAGAGTCTGAAGAAATTATGTTGAAAGTGTTGAGTCTTACCCAAAAGTTGAGTTCAGACACTCCCAATCTTTGAATGTTATTTCTCTTCAGAATTATCACCTAAAATGCATGACACAAAATGAAATAAATAAAATTAACATGTATATTTTATATGAATTACAAGTTTCAAAAGTTACACAGCATTCCCCCTTCCACCTTGCCGATCACCAGCCATTTCACTTCTTAATTGTAGATTTTTAACAATTGGAACATGACAAAATTTTCTTGGGATGACAGCTAAACGCTTTGTGCGCTAAAAAGTTGCGTGTTGAGTCCAGTTAATCCCTGCCTGCGTCACTTGGGGGGTTTTATGCAGGACAACTCCCCTGACGAGGTGGACGGTATGCGGGTGATGTGTCCATGCAAATTTGTTTGTAAGTTATCTAGCAAAATCAGTGGTTTGAGTTTACGTGAAAATCCTTCATTTCCAAACTCCCAAATAAAATATTTTAAAATGTTTTTAAAAAAAAACCACGTAAGTGAACTTTTTAGAAAGAAAGAGAACTTTCCAGATGCCAGACCAAAAAAAGGTAGTTTTAAAAACCAAAACATTAATTAGGAGAGAACCTGTGGCGGCCTTTAAGGAGGACTGTGAAAGAGGTGGCAACTACCTGCTAGTCTTGAAAGGGAGGGGAGCAGAAGAGGGCCTGGGTCTGCGAAGGGCAAGAGACTGAAACTGAGACTCGCGCATAAGGCCGGCGTCCTCACACAACATACCTTCAGGGGTGTGAACGGAATGTTTATGCCCCCACCAGATTCATGTGCTGAAACCCTCTTCTCCAACGTGACACACTGGCGGGGCAAACTTTGGGAGGTAATTAAATCCCTCATGAATGGAATTAATGCCTTTATAAGGAGAGACACGAGAGATCACACAAGAGAGGTGATCTCTCTCTCTCCGCATATGAGGATACAGTGAAGGCATCTGTTTGCAAATCCAGAAGGGAACCCTCACCAAGAACCAGACCGGATGGCACCTTGATCTTGGACTCCCCAGCCCATGATCATATCTCTTCCCATGAGGTATAAGCCGCCCAGTCTACGGTATTTTTATTGAAGCAGCACCTCCAGCTACCGCTTCCAGTGCCTCTTCTGTGCAGTGCTATAGTGACATGGGACACATTCCTTCCACCCGAAGGCCCTCCTTCAACATTTTAGAACAAATGTGCTCATGAAGTCTTTATTTTGCCTTCATCTTTGAGCCATGTGTTGCTAGTTACAGAATTGTAGATTGACAGTACTTTTTCTTTAAATGTTTTAAAGTTGTTGCTTAACTGTTATATTGTTTGTATTTTTTTCTTATGAAAAATCTGCTGACATCCGTACCCTTTGTTCTTCTAAAGGTAACGTGTCTTGTTTCTTTGACTGTCATTAATTTTGTATCTTTATTACTGATTCTGAACAATTTGATTATAATATGCCTTACTACAGCTTTTTGTACTTGGAGTTTACTGAAATTCTTTATCTCTGAGTTAATTTTCATCAAATTAAAAACATTTTGGCCATTACTTCTTCAAATATTTTTTCTACTTCTTCCCAACTCCCCTAATTTAGACATCTACTTTATTTTTCCTATATTAACTATAAATGAGGGACTGGAATATCACCACTTTTTAATCCCTATCAAATTAATGAATCTGGTACTAAGAACGGATGGCTACAAGCACAGAAAGAGAGGTACTAGGTGTTATGCTTCTCCTGATGAAAGAACGATACTACACTGAAGGGATCAAACCTTAACCTGTCCAAGTTTTAGATTCAATTATTAATGTATTATGAGTACAGAAGACAAAGGAGGATGTAAAGCTACCCCATGAGGATTCAAAGGGTAGAATCTAGACCATTTAATTTTCTATATTTTCAATGACCTAGGCTCTTCAACAAATACATTTCCTGGGAAAGAAAACAGGCCGACATATAGGAAACCTAAAGACAAATAGAGAAACCTAAGGGATGCAACCATAAGGGAAAGCTAGGAGCAGCTACCACAGGCAGGTCATTACTACTTTGGAGCAGCACACGGGAATTATAACAGGCAGGATGCCTGCAAAAGCTCTGCTTTTGACTTGGTGGTCATTTAAGTATATTTGGCAACTAACCCTTCATTAATTAGTACTTGTCCATTTTAGTTAGTACTGTCCATACTTAAAACATTTGTTTTACGCAGTTTTCTCTATGTCTATATTTCAAAATAAAATAGGTTTCCCAAAAGGAGGTGGATAGGCACGCTACTACAAGTCCTCTACCTTGTCACGCTGAAAAAGTTCGATGAAACATTGCAAATGAAAAACCTACATTTGAGGGGAACGAGAAAGAAGGGATTACTTATTGTGAGGGGGAAAAAAAGATGTGGGGAACAAAAATGTTAAAACATAAGAACACTCCCAAAAGATTCGATCGATGCCCCCTCCAGGGAAAAGTGCTCTGTTTTGGTATTACTGTGCTTGGCATCATTTCTGACAATTGTGGAAGAGAACATCCCAGGAACATTCCAGTGGAGGACAACATTGTAGGTTCTGGCTTACAAATATCAGAAGTGTGACTGTAAAGTAAAGACACCGGTTTACTGAACCACCGCTCCCAACACATATCCAAATGAGTGTCCTTCAATGGAAGTCAGTCACGCGAGGAAACTATACCCTTATGCTAAGCATGTTGCCGTTGCTCAAAACAGTTTGGAACTCTGTTTTCCAAACTACCTTCACAGGTTTAGTTATTTATGGGTGCAAGGAAATAGGTCTCATTATTTTAATGTCACACCATATTTTGATCAAGATCTATGTATTACCCCGCCCAATCACCCACCTTAGTCACAAGACTTTGGTCATTTTCAAGAATCAAATCCATCCTCGAAAGACAAAGTTTTGTCACCAATGAAGACATTCAAAAGAATGTGCCACAGCCTGTGAAGGCCATTCAGGGGGGCCCCCAAAATGCTGCTGAGCGGCGGCGGTGTCCCTGCGTGAGCACTGAGCCTACCAGAGCGACTTAGGGGTAAATAACTAATTTTTATCGTAAGTTATGGCATAATTTAAACATAAGTCTTATTACCATCCAATTGTTTTTAAAATATTTTCTTGAGCACTGCCTTAAAATGGTAAACTTTGTGCCATGGTATTTTCCAAGGATGAGATAGAGAATAGGCGTTATTTGGGAAGAACTTTTTCATGTGAGTAATAATCAGGAAAGGGCCCTATTTATCCTCCTAAACCTATAGTAGGTGGATTAAACCCACTATTTCACATGTTAAAAAAAATTAATGAGCTTAACAGATACTTACCCATGTCATTAACAAAGATGAAGTATAATAAGAAGATAAATACATTGGATTTCCAAACATCAGTACAAAACAAAGGAGAACTGAAATCTAAAAATTGAAGAAAAGAAACACATGTTTTATCATTATTAGATATGTAGCATAACACATATTTTGTCTACAGGCATATAGCCATTGTAATACAAACTTTATATGCATAAGTAAGATTAATAAATAGATCTTGGCCAAATGATAATAGAATTTCAACACACTGATAGGTTCTAAGTATTTTCAACACCATAAATTCTGTATAGAAAAATTTAATTTTCTCTCTCTCTGCTACTTGGTACAAAGAAAATGGAAAAAACTATCATTTCCATTGATTCAATAATAGAGTTCTATAATAAAAAAGATGAGTTTTAAGTATTAATCTTTTAATCTTTTTGTTGAACTACTTGAGGATTTCGATCACTAAGGAAGCTTCATTTTATGTTCTTAGCTAGAAGACATTTATTTTTCTGTTCTTAAGGGAGATGTGTTTGGAAACTAAGATAAAAACAAAAATGAGAAAACATAAAATTCACAGTGTGTCACATTCATGCACAGTGTTAGAAATTTCAGGTCTCAGGGAAAAAAAGGCAGTCTCAAAAGTAGTGACTAATAATAAATAAAACATAAAAATAAAAGTTTCAGAAAGAAAAACATCTTTGCTGTATTTGAAAGTACGTTATAATATGGTATCTATAATGTACATTTCCTGTTTTTCTTCTGGATATAATCAAAATCATATGTATTAAAACAACTTGAAAGAAGGTAACCCCAATATCTTATTTTAATGTTTGACTTATAAATATGAAAAGTGTTACCATGTTCATATAAATGATCTTCTTGAATTTATTTGGCTCAATGTACCCCACGACATACATGGGAAATAATGAGGCTATCTGAAATAAAAATATTAAAAAGCAAAAGTGAAAAAATGTAGAAAACAAACACTTCATTATTCATACCCAAAGTAATGCAAGGGGTGCTATATTTCTAATAATGGCACCTAAGTAATTTCAGTGAGTCTTCTCATTGGGAACTGGAATAGCTGGGAAAATACCTGCAGAAGAGCCACAGATGACTAACAGGGCAAGAAAGACTTAGGGAGCCAAGACCAGTGAAAAGATGGAAGTCTGCAGTGACGAGGATGACTTTTTAGGTCACTTTTCTCCCACAGGTGCCCGCCAGTCCCAACAGCAGCAGATGCCTGTCGGTAGAGAGGCAGTTGAGACATGTCCACAGACAGACTGAGCAGGGAGGAAACATCAAGAATGAGGTCCCTGCTAAGTCCCCAGGCTTTGGCTTGGGCTTCGAAGGGCTACATGAAAAGAGAGAATCAGAAATCAAACAGTCCTCGGAAAAGGACAAAAGCCCACCTTTGAATGATCTCATCCTCTGATTGCAGGAGGGTGATTCAAGATTGTTAGTGTCTATATTTGCCTGCTGGCAATAAATTTAATCTTCTATGGAAGATGTTAACATCAACATAGTCTCAAATTAACTACATCATTATTCATGTACAATGTCCAATACCATATTAGAATTAAGTAGATATAGGAAGAGATAAGACATTATTACAAACACAATAGAAACAGATCCATAAAGAATCTAGGTCAGGCATCAGACAGTAAATGTGTTACACTTTGTGGGCCACATATAGTCTCTATTATATACAGTAAGTTCTCACTTAACATAGGTTCTGCAACTTTTAGCAAAAAAATAATATAGGAAAACAATTTTACCATAGGCTAATTGACATAAACAGGAGTTAAGTTCTTATGAAATCTCATCAATGTTGTAACAAAAGAATATTGAACAAAATGATATTTGAGGACCAACTGTTTTTTTCCTCTTTTTTGAGCAACACTTTTAAGAATGTAAAAACCACTCTTAGCTTGCAAATCACTCAAAAACATGCCTGGCATCATTAGACATAGGTTTTATGTTTGATGTGTGCCAGGAAATAACAGATTGGATTGAAAATTCCAGGAAAGTACTGAAAGTCACTTAAAGAACAAATTGAAAGTGTACAATTAAATATTACAACGAACAATATTCAGAGGTCAAAGATGGGTTTAAAAGCAGGTCAAACATAGCTAAATAAAGAGACACATTGAAAGACAGGCCAGAAGAAAACATCTAGAAGAAAGTATAAAATGACAAAGGGGTAAAAAATATATGAAAGAGCATGAGAGATGTAGAGTATATGGTGTAAAGACTAGCATACCTCACTTTACATCTCAAACACAGATAAAGAATTAAGCAGAAGCTCTATTATTCAGCCATGAGAAAAAGGAAACCCACAACGGAGTGGCCCTCCAGGGCGCCATGCTGGGTGAGGAGTCAGGCAGAGAGAGACAAATGCTGGGTGACCTCACTTTCATGTGATTCTGAAACACCCAGCTGGTAGAAACAGAGGAGGTGGGGGTTACCAGGGGCCAAGAGGTGAGGAGATACAGATGCTGATTAAAGGTCCAAACTTGCAACTTTAGATGAGTGAGTTCTGGAGATCTAATGCCCAGCATAGTGATTAGAGTCAATACTGTATTATATATCTTACAGTTGCTAAGAGACGGGATCTTAAATGTTCTCAGCACAAAAAAATAGTAATTATGTGACTTGATAGAGATGTTAAATGACCACTGTGGTGGTAATAAGGCGGTGATCATACTGCAGTGTATTAAGTCAACACACTGTACATCTTAAACTTACATAACGTAATGTCAATTATACCACAATTAAAAACAAAAGAACACTAAAAGCGTAGTACATCTTTTGAATGGCTAGACAATCATTAGCAGGGGTGTCCAACCTTTTGGTGTCTCTGGGTCACACTGGAAGAAGGATAGTTGTCTTGAGCCACACATTAAATACACAAACATTAATGAGAACTGAGGAGCAAAAAAAGGGTTTTAAGTGAATTTACAATTTTGTGTTGGATGACCTCACAGCCATCTGGGGCCCCGTGCGACCCACAGGCTGTGGGCTGGACATTAAAGCAACATCAAAATTACCAAAAAGCTACTTAAATAGCTTCATCAGGATTAATAAATTTGCTTGCAAGGAAGTGATGCACATGGGAAATCTATTCTACTTTGTTGCCAGGTGCAAATAATGAAAACCATAGATTTTCTGTGTTAGGACCTGAAAGGGCCAACTCGCAGGAAGTAAAACAGAGAGAATATCTGAAACATGCTTTAACTATGCAGCTCCAATTAAGTTGAATTTTTAATGTCATTCTTTGTAGACAACTGGCGACACAGGCTCCTTGGCAGGGTCTCTCACTGCCATTAAAGAACGTTATTATTCTCCCTGTTTATTCATTAGGCAGAAAGGAGTTTTCCTGCAAAATGTTAGTATCATGAGATTTCATCATAATCGACTGCTTCCCCAGCTCAGTTTCTTGCCATCAATTACTGAGTTCTTTGGGGAAAGAGGATATGGCCTCAATTTACTCAAGAGGTATCATGATTCCCAAGTGGAGAAATGGTGTCCCGTGAGACTCCGTCCTTCAGACAAAAACTACCGATATTTAAGCTACATTAGAAGCAGAAACCCTCTACCAAGAAGAATAATTCCTGAGGCAAAAGGAAAGTCTACAGGCAGATTTATAGAGCTCATTTTGAATACCAGCAAAAATATATATATAAATTAAAATAGAAAAAAAGTCCTATGCATGTTGATCGCTAATACCTGCGTAACTAAACAATGCATTAACAGACTATAGACTATATGGCTTTTTAATCTTAAAAAATCACACATGTATGTAAACTTCAAAATTATTCCATATTTGGAAAATCTACTAGGACTAAATATAATCACATTTTAAAACTTCTATAGAATCAACAAAGTACATGTTGCATTCAACTTAAACTAGTTTAAAATCTTCTTACCTGTGTAAAAAGGATAAACTGAGCAAACTGCCAAGGTAGCATGAAAGCAACGTTAGAAAGACAAAGTGCCATATAATGCCTTCTATTGATGTTCGAGGTCCTTAAGGGAGAGAGTTGACACCAGTAAGTTTTACCACGAAATCAGCCTCTCACTAGACAGAAAGAGGCATTGCAAAATAACCAAACCTAGTGATTGCGCTATCTTTGCTATAAGACAACAAAATACAGCTCTCTTTTAAAAGTTCATGAAAAAGAACTTAAGATACTACTTGGATTATAAAAGTGCTTAGCATAAACCCAAGAAAACGGCAGCTTTAAAGGAAGTACCGCACCTAGTTTAAAGTAAATAAAATATTTCACACATGAACGTTTAGGTTCCCCTGGCGAGGCCTAGGCACTAGAAATGCCGCTCGGAGAGCGCAGGGCGCGCCACGCGAGGCTCCAGGCACCGGGCCTGCGGGAGTCCAACGCCCCTGCTGGGCCGCCGCCCGGATGTCTTACAAAGCAGCGAAGGAGCCTATAGGTGCTGGTGAAGCCACAAATTAACAACGGTGAGAAAAATTGAAAGAAAAAAAATTAAAATGACTTTAAAAGAATAATTCTGCAATGCAGTCACATTCCTGCGTATTGAAGCTGAAGCCGCCCAATCTGCCATTGCGAGATAATCGGCCCCTAACACCTGTTACCACGGGAGACTTCAGTGTATTTTAGAATAAGGAAAAAGAAATGCAAAGACTCTGTGTAAGGGACTGAACTGTAGCTGCTTTTTGGGAGGGTTGCAGTGGACTGGGATACCTCACTGTGCTACGGAGCCTCCGGTTTCCAAAGCAAGATTTTAAATGTCCCAGTTGTTTACCAGGAGTATCACAGCACAGCCTTTGTCAAGGGCTCGGCTTTCGCGCACTTACCGAACAGAAGTTGCCCTGGGCAAAGGCCCGGAGCGCGGCACAGGCACTGAAGCACGGAGCCCTGACCGGCCCAACCCCCACGTTTCATTCCACGGAACCCCCGCCTATCCAGACCACTGTCCGCTCAGAAAAATTAAAAACGGAGTACGAACCGTCCTCCTAAGAATTGCAGTGGGAAGGCGCAGGACGAACGGGCAGCTTCCTCCACCGTCGTCTTTGAGGACGAGTAACGGGCAGGGCAGAGATAGGGAGATCAGCGGGGACAGCCGCTCCCCAGACCCGAATTCGACCCAAGAAAAACGTGTCCCGCAGCCACCAGCCGGGAGCTAGTCTGCACCTTCCTGGGCTGGGGAGCCACGGGGGCTGCCGCTCGCCACCCTGGGCGGGGCCACGCGTCAGAGCCTGCAAGGTCAGCACGCGGGGAGCAGGGGCCTGCGGTGAAGGAGATCGAGGGGGCCGGGGCCCTGGCTCCACAGGTGATTTAATACGGTGCGTGTGCAGGCAGCCGTTTGCCTGTGTGCTTGGTTAACAAATGCGCAGTTCTCAGAAGGAGAAAAGACACGTGCACAAAAGGTTTCGACACAGGCAGACTCTGATAGGCACCGGTGGGGACAGAGGGGGTTCCCGGGGAGTCCCGAGGGCTGTGGTCACTCCGCCAGGCAGCGAGGCGGCCCCTAACACGTAGGACACCTATTTCTATGGTCAAGTTATTTACAGTATTCTGCTATTTATGTTTTTGTTGTTGTTGTTGTTTCTCAGGCCTCTTAAAATATAAAATTAATTCCAAATAACAGTGTCCAAAAAAAGCAATTGAGATGAAATTCTGATTGAACTGCTAGAAACATCAATAGTTAAGAAATTTTCATGAATATGTGAATATACATGCTCCTTATCTATCTAACTTGGCCCTTCCCAAAGTCATCTGTGCACAGGACACTTCTTTCTTGGAAGATACATGAATGTTCACTCAAAACCACAGGTGGGAAAGCAAGGAATCAGATTACATGAGCTGTGAGGGGAAAAAAGTAATAGTTTCTTAAACACCTTTAATCTTGACCAAATATACATGAAAATTTAAATTCTGACTTACTAAAACATAATGTAGTTCTCTAAAACCTGTAGCCCTGACTCTAAAGTGGAAAAATTTTTTATATAGTATTTCAGATTATTTTCTCAACTGGATATTCAATTTAAAAGTAACTAAAAATAGCAGCTGAATTTGAATTATAACAATAAGTTGAAGTATCTTTTAAGAAACTTAACTCACAATTTATGTAGATGTTTTATTAATGAAAATTACCTGAGAATCAAAGTTAAAATGAACATCTGAAGTACAAGGAACGGGTATGAAAAGCTTTCCCGGAGAGGCGGGGTCCACATCACACGGGTGGCCTGAAATCAGTAAAAACCTTACTTCTTACATTCCATTGCAAGAAACATTATTCATCTCACGGTCATGAATGGGCTGGTTTTATTAATCATTTTAATAGTAGGCTCACTGACTTCCGAATGCCTGGCGAGCTTCTCGGCTTTTGGAGCTCTCTTGGCGGACACAGCCATTAGAGAGAGCCGTCAACTAGCAAGTCCAGAAACCAGGGAAGGCTCCATCAGGCCTCCCGTAAGCAAACACAAAGGACAAGCCAGAGGGTAGGTATGGCGGCTGGAGTCCTAGAGGACTTGGGACTGCCAGCAGATCCACACTCCGGTGCTGCAGTGTGGCCCAGCTTTCCCAAGGCTTGGAGACGTATCGGTGCCCGGGAAAATACCCAAACAAAAGTCAACTAGTGAACTCACAAACATCAAGGGAGTGTACATATAACAAGGGTAAGGAGTATAGGTACACATTACAAGTAATTAAGATTATCTCTGAATTTGTGAAATATACCTTTAAAAAAGTTGGCTATAAATTTCTGAAAACAACTGTAAGTTGGTATTTGGAAATCACTCATGTGATGCACATAATAAAATCATTAATTAAATGTAAATAGACTTTATAACTGTTTTAAGACATATAGAAAATATTATACAAGTTTTATATTAGGAATTCTAAAATTCCAGGAAGCATCTAACTTCTCATAACCTTGAAAAAATCTTAAAAGTTCTTGCTCCTCTTCCAAGAAACCAAAACTATAAACCTTGGAAGATTGGGTCTTGTGGTGTGCTTCAGAAAGTCATAATGCCAGCCGTCTGGCACGCTTGAACAAAACTTCTCGCCCTTACATGAACACACCAGTGAATGACACTGCATTTGTTTGCTTTACATTACTATATTTACATATAATTTCTAAGACTCCCTTGCCTAACAGACTAAGTTAACCAAGTATCTCCCCTCCCCAATAGTAATGAATGAAGGTCATGGCACATATAAGCGGTGCCATCACGTATCACAGATTTTGCTCCACAAACTAGGAGCAGAGTCTCTCACATCTCACTGCCATGTCCTCAGCATCTCACAGAGAGGCTGGTATGTGTTACGTATTCAGTATTTTGCTGGGTGAATTTATCCTATTATAAGTTTCTATGGAAAAATTTTAGGGGGCCCATGTCCTGTTGGGCTGGCTTTGATTCGGCGTTCTGCAGTGTTGAAAAGGCAGCATGATGTAATACAAGGAATGAGGCTTTGTTAGCAGGGGTGTGTGACCCATGGCCTGCCGGCCGTGTGTGTCCCAGGATGGCTATGGATGCGGTCCAACACAGAATCATAAATTTACTTAAAACCGTTTTGTTTCCTCATCAGTTTTCGTTAGTGTTTGTGTATTTAATGTGTGGCCCAGAGATGCCAACAGGTTGGACACCTCTAGGTCAGACAGATGTGAATGGGAAACCCAGCTTCCCCGTGCAGGGAAGGCAAAATCTTGGATAAGTAACTTAGCCTCTCTAAATTTCAAGTCCACATCTCCTGTGAGGATGACAACCATTTCCCCAGTGCCTGAACTCAACAAGTACAGTATTTCCTTTTTCTACAAATTAGACGTGTATGAACATATACACTAAAAACCATGCAAGATATTTTATGTCATTAATTCTAATTATCATGCAAAAATGTGGATCAACATGATTAAATATCAACTTACAACACAAGGTTCTTTAAAATATTGTGAAGTCCTAATTAATATGCAATTATATATTCTTTTCATGAATATATTTCTGTGTTCCTATATAGTCCCTTCTATTTCTTAACAATTATTTTCTAGAAAACAAACCTCTCCATGGTTGAAAAAGTAGCATAATACTGTAATTAGACCTCCAAGATGAGTCCCACTGTAAAGAAAGTACACAATCACAATTCATGCAAAGTATAGTGGGTTTTTCCCAACATTATCTTAGAATTTAAAATCATATTTAAAATGTCATGGTACTAAACCATACGAAATAATAGTAAAATTTTCAAAAGTACCCATGCTGTTGATGTTTTAATCTTGAATGTACAAGCATATAAAATGGGCATATAAAACAATCTGAATTTTATATTACCTATAAAGTATTTTCTAAATAAAATATATAAGATATGAATATAAGATATTATTTAACAGACCCGTACTTCAGAGTCTATATTACATTTTGTGAATATTCAGAATAGAGGCAACATTTTGTCTTTTGATTAAAGGATGAAAACAAGAATCTAACAGTTTCAATTAGTAGTAACTTTAAACTTTGTAAACTACTGCAAATAGTCTTTCCTTAAGCCCCAAAGAAACAACAATGTAGAATACAAAATTTAGATCAAGGATGTCCATCAAAGATTAAGAATCATTTCTTAAAGTTGCCTTTTCTTTCTGTGTTATTCATCACTTATATCCACTGCTCCACACATGGAAGACAATAAGTGTTGGTTGGATGATTTAAAAAGAAAGGAATAGTTTTTTTAAAAAATAAGTAGAGGAGAGCAAATGGGAAGAGATTTATCATTAATAAATTTTGACTAAAGGAAATTCAAAGGACAAACTTTGAAAAGTAAGAAGTGGAAAGAAGGAATTTAATTTCTAAGAAGCAAGAACAATTCTGCATATAGAAACTGCGACCATGTGGATCAAACTAAGATCTGACAACATGAACAATAAAGTAAAACACAATGACTAACGACCACTGTGGAGGCGCAACGGCAGTCCCGAACCATGGCGATTGTTACAAGGTGCAGGGGCTGTTCTGAAGCAAAGTGTCCTAAACTTCCCTGCACTGCTCAGAAGAACAGGAAAAATATCAACTAACTGTAGTCTTAATAAAGTTCGATATGCATGTTCACATGTTATCGTGAACCACCCAAAGGACACAGACACAGAACCTACTTTCCGAGCCAGAGTGGCGGGCGGGTGGCCCCAGCAATAAATGCAAAGGGTCCCCACAGCCTCCTGGTCTTTTTGTTTCTCAGATGCCATTCCATTTCCTCACAGTTGTAGTAAACTTCTATAGACAACAGTTGCTATATCTACATAGCCTTCTTAATGACTGAGGCTTCTTTGATATTCCAGAACTATGTAACCAATGGAGAGAAGATGGTAACTCTTGGGTTACTCTAGCCATGAAAAATGTTCATTTTAAAAAGTTTTAGTCTTGTCTAACATTTTCCATATTTAAAAAAGTATAAGCTATAAGCTATACAAACTGTTCTCTAAAACAGAACATTTTTAAAGCCTAACGCCATAATCTGAAAGTAATTAACACTGTGATGAGTTTAAACATATTTTTCCTGTATGACATACATATCGAAAAGTACATAAAATTTCTGGACAATTTATGGAATCATTATAAAGTGAACATCCTTGTAACCACCATGTCACTGAGATAGGAAACTGATCTCACCTAGGTCCCCACTTGCCACCCTTTGAGACAGTCGCTATCCGGATTTTTGTGATTACCAATATAGCCACTTCTATATACATAACCATACTCTCGTCTACTTTTTTTAAAACTTCATACACGTGAAAAAGGCAGGATTCCTTTTTATTTTGTGCCTGCCTTTATTCAGTCATCATTATCAGATTTGTCCATGTTGCTGTGTGGAGCTACAGTTCATTTGTTCTCATTGTTTTACATATTCCACTATAATAACTACGGTGTGTACATCTCTGTTGGTGGACACTGGAGTTGTTTCCAGCTTGGAGCCATTACAAACAATGACACTATATTCTCGTACATACTACTTCCTGCTATACATGTGCAAGGCTTTCTTAGACATACATACTTTAAATAGGAACTGCTATCTACCTCTTCAACTTTACTAATGCGCACAGTTTTTCCGAAATAGTTGTACTAATTTATATGCCCATGTGCTGTCAGTAAAAATCCTTTTTGCCAATCTAGTGGATGTGAAATAGTAGCTCATTGTAGTTTAAATTTGTGTTTTTCTGATATCAATAACTAGTGATGATCCGATTTACATGTACCTTTTTTTGCAGTTTGGAGTTCTTCTGGGAAATGTCTGTTCATAAATATTTTGTCCATTTTTCTATTGGGCTGCATGTCATTTTAGTTTTTTCTACCCCCTAGAATATAAACTCCATGAGGACAGAGGTTGCTGTTTTTAATTCTAGCACCTAAAATAGTGCTCTTTGAATCAGCAGATGTGCAATAAAAATTTGTCAAATGAATGAATGTAATGTCTGGATCCTACGTTGGGTATCCGCTTGGCAGTATCTTTTCCCAGTTTGTGGCTTATCTTTTCATTCTAAAATGTCTTAAGAAACTTAAATTCTTTTCATCAAATCTATCAGTTTTTTTCTTCATGGCTAACCTTTCATGCCTTATTTAAGAAATTCTTTCTTATCCCAAGTTACTGATGATATTCTCCTATGTAACATTATAAACATTTTGTAACTTTGTCTTTCATAGTTGAGGTTTTACTCCAGCTAGGATTTATATTTCATACAGCTCCAACCTCTTTTTTTCCTATGTGATCTCTCAACCCCAGCACCTCTTATTAAAACACCTGCCTGGACCCACTGATGTGCAGCACCAGCTCTGACGCCCATCAGGTGTCACATTTCCATTGCTGGGCTCTACTTTATTCCAGTGGCAGGTCCCTATGGCAATGTCACACTGTCCTATTCCATTAGGGTTATAATACAAAAACAATGAACAAAGCAAGTCCTCCTACCTCTTCAACTATCTTAGGTGGCCCTTTACATTACTGAAAAATTTTAAGATCAGCTTATTGAGGTTAACAAAATCAGTAGTGCATTGAAACTGTAAATCAATTAGAATAACTCTTTTCTTTTTGAGTCTTTCAATCCATGAATACAACATGTCTCTCCATTTATTTAGATATTCCTACATGTCTCTCAAAGTTTTACAATTTTCCAAGAGGTCCTACATAGTTTTTGCTAGATTTATTCCTAAGAACTAATTTTTTCAAGACTATTCTAAATGACATCCTTTTAAAATTTCATTTTTTGATGCACGAGTTCAGAGTTACAATATATATGTATTAATTTTTGTTTCCAGTAACATTATAAACTTTCCTATTTTAATATTTTACCCATGGATTTTTTTTCTGTATAAAATCATGTGACCTGCTTGTAAGGACACTTGTTTCTTTTCTTCAAGTTTTCCAATCCTTGTACTTACTACTTTTTCTTAACTTTATTGAATAAGATATACAGTACAATGTTATTTATATTTTTCATTGATTCTATGCTAGTATTTTTATGCTGAAAACTTCCTAAAACAAGGGGAGTATAGCTACTAACCTGTACATAGACAAAATCCTATGAAAACAATAAATACTATTTAAAGATTAAATCTAGATATTTAACTTTAAATGTTGTGCAGTCCATCGTAGAGGAAGCTGATGATTCAGTTAGGAATGTATCCTGCTTTAGGAAACGGAAAATCTGACAAAAGTGGCTTCAAATATGGACATTGATTAATTAAGCCAACAGGGAAATGGAAGTTAAGTGTCTGCTGCCCGCAACCCGGCAGCACAGAGATGCGAGGGCAGGTGCGTGGCTGTGTTTATGCTCTTTCCCTCGTGGCTGCAACGTGACTGCAGCGGCCCCAGGAATCACCTCCAAGTAGAAGCAGAAACAGGGGAGGGGCAGCTGAGTCTGTCCTTGGGTGAGAAAGGCAAATGCTTTCCTAGGTGTAACCAGGGTTGATTTCACCTTATTTTTCACTGAGAAAGCTAGATCAAATGGCTACCCCAGGCTCATTGGATAGTGAGCATCAGCCAACAGTTGACCCTTGAACAACAAAGATTTGAACCGTGTGGGTCCACTTTTACATGGAATTTTTTTGATCAATACTGTAAAACATATTTAACTCTTCCTCATGATTTTCTTAATAACATTTTCTTTTCTCTAGCTTACTGTATGGTAAGAATGCAGCTAATATATATAACATACAAAATATATATTAAGCAACTGTTTGTTATTAGAATGGCTTCTGGTCCACAGTAGCTGTTAGAAGTTAAGTTTGGGAGGGCATCCAAGTTATACGTGGATTTTCAACTGGGTGAGGGGTGCAGGGGGTCGTGGGTGGCACCCCTAACCCCTGCACTGTTCGAGGTCATCTGTCCATGACTGTCATAGCTGACTTCAACCTCTCACCTCAGACCGCGCACACTGCCACCCCCAACTAAACTGTAGTACTGCTACCAAGAAAGACAGGCTGTTGTATGTGTGTCTGCTACAAGTGATAAACATTAGCTCTATTGCTTCCTTAATTTCACATGGATGGAGACTAAAATGAGAAATTATCTGCTACTAATGTCAACCAAAGATCCCCTCTATTATAACACCAGTACACATGACCCAGGGGTATTTTCATTAAAAATTTGTTAAGGAATCTTAAGTAACTAAAAAATAAATTCCTCACAAGAATAAAAGGAAGGCCTTTATGGTGTTATTTTAGTCACAGCTCTAGTTTGAGGTTGCATGATACTGGATATGCTTCTGAAAAAAATGAAATAGATCTAAAAATGTTCCTACTATTAATCAATTAACCTCATTAATTTTCCTTTTCATATAATCAACAAACATCAGCCAGTCCTTATAAGGCCACTAAAAGATCTTTCAATACATAGTCTTACCTCAGATACGCACCATACATGAAGAACAATGCCATCATTATTCCATTTAAAATAAAAATCATACCAACATAAAAGCAAGCAGGGTCTCCCATTCCTTTAAAAAGACACAGATTATTCAGTATTTAATGAATAAATGATTATAAAATAATAGGATATAACTACTGCAGTGCTTTGTAATCAAGGGCTCACAAATTTACAGAAAGCATTTGCTTTGCAGACTGCTGCTCTAGTAGTTACGTGAGTACTTTCCCCTTACGTGAGATCCTATCAGTTACATTCAGATTTTAGACTTTATTGTGGCTACATTTATACTTTCCCCCGATTAAGTGTAATTATACTGTAATAGTTGGTGCCTCATGTTATTTAGGAGGTGCTACTATTGTTCAGTATGTAGAACCGCCTGTACAGGTACTTCATAAATTACTGCATTATTATCTTTGCTTGGTTTTAGGATGAGTACAATATGGGCCCTGACCCCAAGGAACAGCTTTAGCCAGTATGAGATAATCTTGTTATTTTACCCATTATGATGTATAGCTCAAACCTTAAACCTTAACATATTATAATAAATCCCATGTTTAAGACCAGATGGAGATAGGCAGACAGACACGCATAAAATATGTTAATGCACACGCGGTCTACTGCTAGGTGCCTTACAATCTTCATGTCACCTAATCCTCAGAACAAGCCTACAGGATCAGTAGGTAGGAAAATAATTTTTAACGGTTGAGAAAACAGAACATAGAAAATGTGAAGTTATTTAGCTTTAAAAGTTTCCGATGGCGCCAAGGCCTGAAGGCTGGCCGGCCTCGCTCCCCCACTTCTCTGACCATTCCCTTCCAGTCTGTCTTACAACCACTCTTTCTTCTCTCTCTGCTCCAGGAAGTCCCCTTCTGTCAGCTCTCTTGCTCAGGAGTCTTGACTACGCTGGCCCCTGCTCCTAAAACACTCCCTTCCCTTACTCCTTACTTGGGAAAACTTGTTTTCTCATTGGTAAGATCCATCACAGTTATTGCCGCTAGGAGGGAAGGGCACCAAGTTGACTAGAACACTTTGGGGTCCTAAGGCCCGACTCTAACCTGTCACTTAGTGGCAACTTAATAAATATCATAAATGTACATATATAAGGAGATTTTGTTCCCCCATTTCTCAGAAAAGGCTACACTTTCTAAGCTGATTGAGTCATTAGAGTCTCTCATTTTATGAGGCATTTTCTCTATCCCTTTATTTTGCATAAGAAAAGCTTAATTATGTCTCAAAATCCTCTATCAATGCTATTTTAGATGTTATAAAGATCCCCTGAGGGATTCACTAAAAACATAGGGAAATATAGAAATACAGATTTGGAATACGAGGTCTGTCCAGAAAAGTCCAGCCACTGTTAATATAACGAGAACAGTCTGCATGACATTGATGTAACCTGGCAGCCAAGGAGAGTGGACAGGAATGCACATGCACGAACAATGATGATTTCACTGTACTAGTCAGTGGGGGCGGTAGACACAGCTGAGTGAGCCTGTGTACTGTGTGGCTATCACATTCAAAATGAGTGAGTAGAGCAATGCATCTGCATCAAATTTTGCAGTAAGCTTAAGCATTCCTCTGTGGAAAATATTCTAATGATTCAGAAGGCCACAGCTATGGGCAACTAGAGATTGGCGGCTTCATTAAGAAACTTGCCTGCTCATCCATCACATCTCCTGCAGAGCTTTTCCGCGAAACATCCAATCACCCAGGTGACTCAGTGTCCCTACAGCCCAGATTTGGTGCCCTGTAACATCTGGCTTTTCCCAAAACTAAAGTCACTTTTTAAAGGGAAGAGATTTCAGACTGTTGATGAGATTCAGGAAAATACGATGGGGCAGCTGATGGCGACTGGGAGACCTGTGTGAGGTCCCAGGGCGCCTACTTTGAACAGGACTGAGGTGTCATCGTCCAATGTACAATGTTTCTTGTATCTTGTTTCTTGTTCAATAAATGTCTCTATTTTTCATAGTACATGTCAGAGTACTTTCTGGACAGACCTGTATATTCTGAATTGAATGTTACAGCAAACAAGTCTATAAAAATATATTTATAAGATATATTGTGTTCATGTTGTAGAGAATATGAATAAAGAAAACACCAACTCTGAAAATGCTATGCAAGTAGATATAAATGACTTCATATAGTAGCTTCAAGGGAGAATATCATACTTAAATTATAAAAGTGCTAAACTGCAAACCTCTTAAGTAGTAGCAACTAATACAGATCCCAGAAAACTGTTAGCTGATTCCAAAAGTGGTTCTTTGACTCAGATACCACTATACAAGGCGTATGTGAAGAATGTGAAGTTTTTCTAAATCAATCTATTATTACATATCTGATTTTATGTTTCTATAACTAAATTTTTACATAAACTATTACAGGTAGATATTTGACTACTTAATTTATTCCTACATGTATATATTCAACTGACCCCAAAACTTATAGTCAGGATTGTTGTATACTGGGGTATATTATACCCAAATTCTAAATTCATACTCATATTAGTAAGTACATAGCCTTCTCAGAAAACTGCCGTAAATACTTTTATGTGAATCAGTTACAGTGTTTGAAAAAATCAATCACTAGTTTACAATAAATCTTGAAATAAGTCATAACAGTATTAGCTGTTTATGTAAACATCAATGACAACACAGCATCAGTGTAGGAAAAAACATGCCTTCACAGCTTTGAACTTCATTTAGAGGTTCTACTCTGGTGACATTCCAGCAGGTCTTAGTTTCTACCCCAAATAAATTCGTTATTCCCACAAATGTGCGGTACAAGAAGGCTAGAACCACCTACAAAAGATAAAAACAAAAAGATGGTTTAGGAAAGACATTATCTTCATAGCAATTTTTTCAAAATACCATTTCATGATGGTTGCCTTCGACATTATAAACTTTGACAAATTTATTTAAGTCATTTCACTTGGGAAATAGTCATTTTAAAATAACACATGCACATATTATAAACTAAAGTTCTGTATTACAGATTAATGAACATCTATAAAACTTTTTGTTGAGAATAATTAAGTTGTTTCATCAAGATGCAGGTGGTAGATCAATATTCAAAATCAACTGTAATTTCTATACAAAAGCAACAAAAAAGGGGAAGCTAAAATTTAAAAATAATACTATTTACAATAGTAAAAATAATGCTTTTAGAAGACTGTATGCTGAAAAATACAAAATATTGCTGAGAAAAAAATAATTAACAAAATGGAGACCTACTCCATTATCATGGATTGGAAGATTTAATATTAAGTTGTCAATTCTTCCCAAATAGATGTCTAAATCCAATGCAATCCCAGTCAAAATCTCAATAACATGTTTGGAGAAATTAATAAGCTGACCCTAACATGTACATAGAAAATAATTTTGAAAAGGAAAACCGAAGTTGGAGAACTACCTTATTTTAAATTTTATTATAAAGCTATAGTCATCAAAGCAGCATGGTACTGGCATAAATATAGATATACAGAAAATTTAAAAAAGATTAAAAAATTTAAAAAATATACAGAACAAAATATTAGAGAATCCAGAAATAGATTCACATGTAATATAGTAATATACATAATACAGTCAATCAATTTTCTAACATTTGTGCCAAGACAATTCAATGGGAAAAGGATAGTTACCATGAAGAAGCACATGGGAACTTTTTGGCATTATTTTCAATGTTTTATAACTCATTTGTAGTTTAGTTATACAATTTCATACATCTGTCAAGCATAGAACTCAAAGAACTATATACTCAAAATGATGTATTTTACTGCGTGTAAATTATACCTCAACAGAGCAGATTAAGGGAAAGCACCCAGAGTGGGAGAGGGTATGTCAGCATGTATTACAAAGGATTATGCTATAAAATACATAAGTTATGCAACAAGCGAATAAGAAAACCACCATCAACTAGGTGATGAATATTCATACAGGTTACTGATAGAAGAATAAATCCAAATGTCTGTTAAACATGAAAATATTCTTAACTTCACCAATAATAAGGGAAGTGCAAAGTAAAGCAAATTCAGCAGAGGAATTCTGATACTCTACTGAACTATAAGGACACATACCATCGATGAACCTTAAAGGTCCCCTCCTTTTAATAACATCATTGTGTTTACTTACTATTTTATCTAATAAAAAAGAACCACTCCACGCACATTTATGGCAGAGCCCACTCACCTCTGGATAGAGATGGAAGCGTTTCACTGTATTAATGACGAGGGGATACTCAGTGAGCCTGTCGTTCATAATCATCCACAGTCCTTCCAAAAACGAAGGTGCTTCGATAATGGTCTTGAAGTAGGAATAATAAAGTCCCTTCAAAAGGCGCAAATTGTCAATGTAAGTAAAATTTTTTTACAACACTCCTTTTAGAACAGTTCTTCTGTAGGAAAAGGTTAATAATAAGACTTCCTAATTTTTCCTGGCTATTCCTGCATTCTTGGACTCAAAAGGGATACATGTTAGGTTATCAACTGTACTCTTCTTTCATTAAGTTCTGTAGGTTTGAAAAAGCATTGGAGGGTGGTTAAATGTTTTAAGGAGCTTTTCTAACCACACCTTAAAACATGTATATTATATATATATTTAAATTTTTTTTTATTTTTAGAGAACGGGAGGGAGGGAAAAAGAGAGGGCGAGAAACATAAATGTGTGGTAGCATCTCGTGCACCCCCCACTGGGGACCTGGCCTGCAACCCAGGCATGTGCCCTGACTAGGACTCGAACCACCGACCCTTTGGTTCACAGGCCAGCGTTCAATCCACTCAGCCACACCAGCTAGGGCTGCATATATTTTTATTTCTACCATGCTTAACTTTACCTCCACTCTTTTTTTCCAGCTCTTTATGAAATAACATAAAATGATCATCAGCATCATGAGATGGAACTTTATGCTTTCGACTTACTTCCTCGCTGCATCTAACAGCTCAGTACAAAGTCCTTCCTGACCAAATGTCAACTGCCTATTGCTCATGACACAAATGCTTTGTCCTGAGAAAGGGGACTGGCTAGTGCACGATTCCAGCATATGAAATAATGACTTCGTTCGGCTAATTAAAAGTCAAAGATGAACAAAAGCATGTTGTTTCATATTACTCCCTCCATCCGTGTCCCGCTTTCCTTCCTAAAATCCAAAAGCAGGGGGAGTAGAGTGTGAAGCGGGGTGAAGGAGGGTCAAGGGGGCTGGATCATGGACGCAGACTTGACTTGGGGAGGCGAACACATAGCACAGTGCACAGATGTCGTCTCGTAGAATTGGGCACCTGACACCTTATAATTTGGTGTCACCCCAATAAAGTCAATAAAAAGACAAAATAAAAGCAAATAAAGGGCCACGCTGCTTGTAATTCCCTCTCTCCCCAAAAACGTTAAAAATAATCTTCCGCTCTCCACGCATTCGGCCTCCGGCAGCCGCGTTATCGTGGAGGGAGCCAGCGACGGCAGCGGCTGCTAAACTGAAGACGTGTTCAGCTGTCGTGCCCGAGAGCATGTCCTCACCGTCGGGACTGGTAACACGGGACTCACGAGAGGGTTTTCCTCCTGCTTCTGGGGCAACGGGCCCCGCTCCAATGACAGGCTGCCGAGGACGCGTAAGGCGGTATTTCGAGAAAGGGAAGAGAGAGGCACATGTTTTCCTTAAGAGCAGCGACTGTTTCTGGGCCCGGCGCTGTGCTATGTGCTTCCCTCACTACCTCCTTTCATTTTCCACAAAACCCTGCAAGGCTGGCATTATCCCTAGTTCTCAGGCGAGGTGACGGAGGAGGAGAGAGGTCGGCGGCCTGGCCGTCACTCCGGGAAGCACGGAACTGGCGCCTGCCTCCAGCGCTCGGTCATCACAGCCCGCTCTGCCACCGCTGCGCTCTTGATTCAACCATATGTGTGTCCTCCACTTGAACATAATACCCATGAAGTATTAAAAATCTGAATGCCGCATAAATGTAAATGTAGCCAATTAAAAGGGCTCTGAGGGTGAGACTCAAAAGGCAGTGGCAGAGGGAAGCCCTCGGACAGGCAGGTTTACAGAGACAGAGCGCAGAACGGAGGTTTCCAGGGGGCGCGGCGGGGGCGGTTAGCGGGGGAAGGGCCCAGCCTCTCTTTGGGGTAATACAAGAGCTCGGGAGGTGGACGGTGGCGGCGGTTGCACAATATTAACGTGTGTGATGCCACAGAGCTGGGCACACAAAAATGGTGGAAATGGTACATTTTGCTCTTTAAAAATGTTTAATATAAATTTAGGTTGTTATCTTAATTGAGCCATAAAACAGCAGTGGCTACAGAATCAAGCAGGAGGCCGGTTTGGCTGGGTTCTTCCCTCGGCCCCTAACCAGCTGATGATCCGGGGGGAACTACCCCGGCCTCTCAGCTGTAAAACCCTGCAGTTCCCGCTTCTGTCGTCCCACGTAAGCCGCACAATAATTACGGGAAATATGCGTGGCAGGTGCATCGTCTCCATCTTACAGGCTGGAACCAAAATAACAGAAAAACTCTTAAAGAGATTATAAAGTTGCCTCTTCAAAGAGATTATCTCGAAGTGAACAGAACAAAAAAGAAAAATCAAAAAGAAATCCACCCTAGGAAAGGAGGAAAGTGAGATAAGTAAAAGAAAAAAAAAATCCTAAAACACTTTCTATTTGAATAATAAACCAAAGTTAAAGCTTGAGAAAGAGCGCAGTTCACCAAAAATGCCTTTCAGTTCTTAAATGTCCACCTTATAATCTTAGTATTACTATACTACAAATTAATTCATTAGAAGAAAGGGCCTAACCATTTCAGTGCGAAAAGTCATCTCCCGTTCCAAAGATGAGAGGTGAGAAAAATGACGATCATTTTCAAAGAGTGTTACTAAATGTATCCTAGGAAAAAAAAAAAAAAAAGCATGAATTTATAAGAATAAGAACATGTTTCAAACAAGTTCTAAAATAACTAAGTTACAAATAAACAAAATACAAAAACCATGAAGAAAAAAAATTTAATAATCAACACTGAGATAACTTTTAAATTTTCTTGCTAAGGCGTGTATTTTTAGGCATTTATAAGCCAGTGCGACACACAGCTGAATTTCTTTCACTCCAGGCCCCTAAATCTGAAGAGAGGTAACTTTTGGTTCCTTTGTTAAGTTCCCCAAGGGCTTCTAATGCACCTGGGTTGGGAAATGCCTCCATAACTGCTGAAAGACACTCAGAATGTAATTTTAAATAAAACTACTTGATAGTAAAGCAATTATAAATAAGAGTAATTCCATATATGGAATCAGCTTTCAAGTGTCAAAGAACTCAGGACTGTACTTCAAGGCATTTTATTAGTGGACTGTAGAAAACAGCCGCAAGCACACGTGCAGGGCAAAATTAGTGACTGGGAGGAAGTCTGCTGCCCTTCATATATCGCATATGGATGCTTCCCAATGCAGCAGAAGATAAAGCCAAGTTCCATGCAAACACCCGGGCTCCCACTCACCTTCATTTACATGCGGGACCAAGGCCAGGGTGCCAATAGCTGTAGGAAATATTTCTTACCAGCACAGCCTTAGTGCCTTAGTTCTAACATCAAAGTCTCCCTGCAGACCAAATGGCCAGAACAGTACTGTCCCCAGGGGCGTGGGGGGCAGATCCCATTCTTCCCAAGAAGAGAAACCCCTGGGCTCAAGTAGAAATGAAAATAGGTAAAGGGAAAAATAGTATAATTTTACATATAATTTTTAAATCACTTGTGTAAAATAAGGTACGTGTGCACCAAAGTCTCATTTAACTCCACATTGCCTTTGCAGTCTCTGTCTTCATTCCCACCTGATTTCCAATTGCCAGGTGTTACTAAACTTTATTTCCAAGCTTATGTCAACTAACATACCGCTACTGTAAAATAAGGTAGCTTTTTAGCTAAAATAAATAGGCAGAGTACACTAGAAAATCTAGATTTTTAGGAAATATAGTAGTGGACCCTTTGGTAAAGCAAAATTATTTTAAGGCGTAAGTTTCTATTCCCCTAATGCACCCATTTTGTAAATGCTGCTTCCCATACGAGGCTTTTTCAAAAAGTAACCTGCATGTGTCCGCTGATACAGATGTACATACAGATGTTCTATATGCATGCCAAGTGGCTCTGGTTTTATTACATGCAAACAGTGGTGGCAATTTTTAATTCAAGTACTTTTATTTATTTCAGACTGAAGCTAATCTTACCAGTGCAAAACTCCTATAAAGGCAGCTGGAAAAAGAAAAAAGAAGAAAGCCGTTAAAAGCTGCTTCGTGATGGTAATCATAATACACCCTTTATACAACTATTTCACATGCATCCCCTTATATGTCTAGAGAGAGCACACACAAGCAAGGTGGCTAGCTTCCAGAAGCTTATAAAACAAATTGTGAATAGTGCTTACCTCTGCAGGGGGCATTTGAGAAGGGAGAGATGTGGAAAACCACGTCTCATTTATGTAATTTGCAAAAGGGTGATGAAGTTACTGATGACTTTTAGACCTTCTGTGATTTTTCAGTATCATTCTCTCTTATTATCTGTTATTCTCTGTTTCTGTACATAAAGTTTTAAAAAGAATCACATATACACACTCTGACTAGCTCAGTCCTTTCAGCAGTGCCTCCAGCCATCAGAAGCCACTAGAACCCACTGTCTCTGGGGCTCAGGGCTCATCGGAATGTGGCAAATGCCGGGGGGAAGAGCTTCCTCAGCAGCAGCTCCCCCGCCCCCACCCCCAGGAAGCCCCTGCAGGCAACCCAAGCCTTTACAGAGCCCTGACAGGTCCAGACTCCCAGCCAGGGGCTCATCTGGAGCGCCTGTGCCGGATGTCCTCGGAAGGGGGCTTCATCAGGGAGCTGTCGGGCTGGTCACACCGTGGGCAGCTAAGGGGATGGGCTTTTTGAGGCGCTCCAAACACTGTTTGTCCCCTCGGGTGGCTGGGACTCTGTCTACTTTCAAGGATATCACGGAGCTGGGGAGGAGGGATGGAAGGAGGCCAACTGAAACCACCAACTCCACTGTTCTTACAGAGTTTCAGTCGTTTTTCTTGACTAAATGCACTCTAGATTGATGTAAACCTTTGACTAATTTCCAAAGATCTGAAAAAGTTGATTCTCATGATATTTCAAGTATTTTTGTTACTGTCACAAGGAAGTGAATTGGCTTAGCCCTTCCTGATGTCCTACTTGCCCTCCAAGATTTCATAAGAGTGTTGAATTGGCCAAAAAGTTCGTTTAGTTTTTTCTGTACCATGGCTCTCGTAGTGCTTAGTTGTGTTTAATTTCATTCGAAACAATTTTGTTAGACTGTATTGTGACAGCTGTCATACCAGGATGCACTTAAAAAAAAAACTTATCAAAATTGGTGAATTTCTGTGCAGCCAATTTTACTATTGGAGATGAAAGAAAATACGCAACATTTCAGCATACTATGCTTTCTTATTTCAAGAAAAGTAAAAACACAACTGAAATGCAAAAAAGAAAAGATTTGTGAAGTGTATGAAGAAGTTGCTGTGACTGATCAAACATATCAAAAGTGGTTTGCGAAGTTTCTTGTACTATTGATATTTTGGCCAAACAATTCTTTGTTGTGGGGCTGTTTTATGCATTGGAAGATGTTTAGCAGCAGCCCTGGCCTGTACAGACTAGGAGCCAATAGCGGGAGACAGCTGACATATTCAAAATATCCAAATCAATAAAGTTATTGGTGAAAATGAAAAAAAAAGTGTCTTTTATTTCACAGAAAAAACTAAACAGACTTTTTGGCCAATCCTAGTGTTTCTTATGGTTGTCACAAAATATACTTGGCAAGTTATTTTTCACACCACCAATGTTAACCTCTTAAAAATTCAAACATAACTCAGCTTGGCTAACAAAATAAGTGCAAATTAATCAACAGCTCAATTAATAATAATAATAACAATAATAATAAAACACTGCCCTGTTGAAGACTCCCAATCATGCTTCTCCAGGTCTTTTTCCATATTCTTAACCATCCTGGGCTCGTTCCTACAACTGTTCAATACTTCTCAGAAGATTCAGTTGTTTTATACCATGAACAGCGAACTACAGCCCACTGTCCTTATCCGCTAGCTAAAAATGGCTGTTACACTTTTTTAAGGTTGTAAAAATAGAAGGAAGACTAGGCAACGGAGATTGCAGGTGGTCTGTTTAGCTTAAAATATTTACTACCTGGTTCTTTACAGGAAATATATATATATTCTCTAACTATGTTAATTCTTTCTATTAATATATAATATACTCTGAACCACTGTGAAATTAAACCTGTACCTTCTTTCTCATCCGGAAACAGATGCCCTTCTGACAAGGCTTCATTTACTTTAAAATACTCAGAGACTGTCCAATTCAACTACATTTGTATCCTCTTTCTTATCCTCCAGGCAATTATATAGACTGGTGAAAACTCCTAAAGTCATATTTAAGGAAAAGGGAAAAATAAAAATATCCTACTAAATCCACCTGGCTCTCCAAAAATCCTCAAAATATTCTGCGTCGCTCACCTCCGCCCCTTGACCCAAATTCCACACCTCGAAAAAGGATAAGGTGTGATAACGCCAACATCCCAAATGCACAAGGTATGAGAATAAACACGCCTCCTGGGGCCCTCGAAGATCTTTTGACACAAGCATCCTAAACTCCTATGGCCACTTCACCGTTTCTCTCTACAGTAATCCCTGCTTTTCTATTCCCCACCATCTCAGAAGACGAACTCTCCTCTTTTCCACGGCTTCTCAAATGGGTGCCTTTGATTCCACCTTGAATTAACAATGTTTGCCTCTCAAGCGCTACGCTCTCATTTTCACTGCCTGTGATACAAACGGAGCTGCCCGGGTGAAGACATTCTGCTGGTGCCGCCCAGATGATCGCCACGCCCCCAAACCCTGGAAACTGTTCAAACTAGAACGAAGGGGGCTGCGGATTCCTGCCCGCGGTTTTGCAGAGCTCGGACCTTGCCATTATTGCAGTTAGGATGCTATTCTTCCAAACCGCTGCAAACCCCAGGGCTCTCCCGGGCTGTGGTGCTCACCTACGCTGACCGTCGTCCGGAACGAGAGCTGGCGTCTCCGCAATAGATGCACCTTGTCGCGCAGCTGCTCCAGGACAGAGTTGAAGAATTGGAAGCGGCGGAGAAACAGGGTCTTGGCGACCAGTTCCATTTGCAGGCAGTTCTGCGCCTTCAGTTTTCGGGTCCTCCGCGGAGAGCAGGGCCGGGCGCCCCGGGGCAGGCGCCCGCAGCCTACGGGCCTGGGCAGCTCCCGCCTTTCCGCCTGCTCCGGCGGCTCCTCCTCCCTCTGCGCCTCCCCGGTGGCCCGGCGCCGCCGCCGCCTCGCCTGCAGGAAGCGCGGAGAGTGCAGCGGCTCCGCGGCCGCTTCTCTGGGCTTATTCCTCCTTTGCCCGACCATTTTCTCATAATCCCCGTTCCGGTGGAGCTGGGTCTCTGCGCGGCGCGGGCCCAGCGCAGTCCGGCGAGTCTGCAGGGGCTCGCAGCCTCAACGACTCGGCCCGGCCGCCGTTGCGGGCCGCCCGGTCGTCAAGGCGACCGGGGAAGCTGGAGGAGGAGCGTGAGGTCCCGGCGGCCCGCGCCTCGCGAGCGCCCTCCACCGCGCAGGCGCACGTGCGTCGCCCCATTGCCTAGTTTTTTTCTTTGTAGTCAATTTATTTGTTTCCTGGAGTTTCCGATTGACTTTGGATCGACCAGTATCTTAACAAAATAAATCAGAGTCTTACCTTCGTGTAGCCCTTCAAAGTGCAAATATGGCACTTTGATCCGTTAAAATGAAAAAATGCTGAAGCACCTAAAACATAGCACGTGCTTCATTTAAAAAAGAAGTTTCTATATCTTGCTCTAGATTGATCATATTCAGAGTACAGTGATGAGTATTAATTTTTTGCTCGGGTTCTTGTCATTAAGTTCTATGTTAGTTCTGTTATTAAACAGTTACATAAATTCTAATTTCATTAGCTCAGAAAATCGACAGTTGCCTAAATACGCATTTTTTTAACGGAGGAGAGAGCGATCTGCGGTTATGGGAGGGAAAACATGGCACTAGTTTCATTCAGTTGAATAGAATCATGGCATGTTGTCATCTTTTTATGACTTCTCTAGCAGTAGTCACTTATTTTAACCTAGTAATTTTGAACAGTTGTTTGAGTCATTTTTTTAGCTATATGCTTATTAATGACAATAACTTAAAATAGTATGACTGATACTTAATTCTGTGAACTGAAAATAATGCATTATAATTTGATATAATACAAATATGTTCTCACAATATTCTATCCTCTTTGAAACGTCTGTGCCTCGTGGTTTAGCTAGTGATGTATTTCTTTGATTTAGGGATTTTGAAAGCAATCATTTATATCAAAAACTCACCTCCGTTTTTCCTTTTGTCTTTTAGTGAAGGCGATTGGTGATTTGCAAAAAAAATGCAATGAAACTATATAACCAGCAGATGGCAATAATGACTTGTAAATCAGAATTTAAAATTTTAGGTACTTTTACAGATCATTTTTAAAAAATCATTGTTTTTGTAATAAATCAGTTTACTAAGTATGAAATTTAAGGAAATTCCAAATGTAACCTTGCATAAAAATAATTATATTGTATATTTCATATATCAAAGTAATTAAGATATTCATTATAGCCAATGTTTGGTTTTCCATTTAATACAGTAATGACTTTGCTTTAATTGATTCAGATAATTATTAATCAAATTTAAATGTTTTAACTTTGCACAAATACATAGATATAAATTTAAGTTGAATAGCTCAGTTATGTCTCTGTGTAGCTTGGTTTTATGAAACAGGAAAGCTAGTAGTTCAATGAACATCATTTTTAAAATTTAGAATTCAATCATTTAAAATACTAATTTCACTTTAATTGATACTCTTCTGCATAAAAGGTGGGTTTTTATTTGTGCTGCTTCATAGTTTCTTTTACATTCATGTATTTTTTTTTCCTTTTATGGTGCAAGGGGTTGGAACTGGCATCCAAGCGTTTATCTCTAGTCTGTCATCATTAGCCCCAGAGACGGTAACAAAATCCTTAGGCTCCCCTAATGCTGTTTGCTGTACTGAACCACCTACCCAACATTTCTTTTACAACAGTCTGAATTAGTAATTTTACTCACTTCAATTAAGAAATTTTATAAAGCTAAACTAAATGAGAGTCGTATCTTACACGTTTGGAAGATTTCCTCTAAATTCACAAAGATGAAAAAACCTTTTTGCTTAAATACATCCCTCCATTTTTGTCTCCAAAAAATGTGATAGCCATAGCTATGTGTTTCTTGGTGGCTATGTATTTTCTAATTGGACTGTTTTCGCATGTTAAAAGATTTCTTTTCATTTTTCCTTCAGTTAAGTATCCTCCATTGAAAAAAATGTCTTTGCACATGCATATTTTATAAAACAACTGCTTAAGTCTAAAACTATTACGTATCCTGACTGATTCATGTCTCAGGGGAACATTTGCTGCTGCTGAATCACTCTGTAGAGCATGCTCAGATCCTAGTTGGATGCAGGCACTTCTTCCCTGGAGAAGATGGAAAATGGCCAGGCTGTGGTGGAACAGGGGGCTTGAATGTAAAACGACGTGCTGCGTACCACTGCCAGTGCTATGCAAAGGCCCAAAGCAGAAACAGTATCTGTAATAAGCCGGAATTTCTAGAAGTTCTGGTCTACTTTCTGTGCTTGTGAGGGGCCTATATTCTACTTTTGAAACTGGAGCTCTCTCAGCCACCCACCCTCTGGTTAGTTCCCCGGGCCTATGTCAGACAAAATGGGACCCCCTTGGCCATGAACAGCCTTCTATAGGCAGGTTTCACTAAAAGGAAGAGAAACAATCCATGAATTAATGGATTGAGGAGAATCCGTTCACCTCCTGTATGGAGAGACTGCCATTTGCATAGTATATGCACACTGATTTCAGCAGAAGAGTACTCAGTATCCATTGTTAAATGACAGCAAATATATGCATATACACAACCGTATACACAACCGCATATACGTATATATATACACCACACCCTAAAAATCCATTTTTCCATGAACTCAATGATGACAGTTTTGTGTACAAACTCCACAAAACTGAGATTATTTTTACTCATCACCAAGAATACCAAGAATTGCTACATTCAACACTAATAAACAGGAGTCTTAGAATATGTTAAAGAATGAATTGTAGAATATATATGGGCAGATTTAGTGCAAACCAGCAAAAACAGCAATGACACATAAGGCATCTGTATGCTATGTTTTATATTGCATAATAGTTAGATCGATTTAAGATTTAATTTCGATTATGGCATAGTGGTCTGGAAATATCGCTTGACTAGACCCAGTAGTTTTTGGGCAGTTTATCGCTCTCGCTCTGATTTCCTCAACTATGAAATAAAGACTTTGGACTACGTAGCCTTATTAGAGTCTTTTAACCTTACTTGACTCCAGTTAGGATGTGTGCATATACTTAGGGAGCTAGAAAGAGACCTGCTGAGTCATGTAGTGCCCTGCACCAAACCCTCTCCTTACCAGTGCGGCCCTTCTCTCCAGCTCGGGCTCTGACTCCACCCCGAGGGTCAGACTCCCTGACGTTCACGCCACAGTGTGTCCCCTGTCGGTCCTCCAGGTGCTACACCTCTCACTGCCAGCCCAGATGAGCTAAGCCCCCTGTCTCCTCTCGGTCTAACCACCGCAGCCCAGCCCGCACCTGGCTTCCACAGCAGCCCTGTTCTCTGTTCCTCCGGTTCCTCCCTGACTTGACTTGCTCTGCAGTCTCTGCGTTCAGTGGGCTCCATTGTTCCCGTTTTCTAATTACTTCTATTTTCTGTCAGCCTAAATGGCAACTAGAACATGTTTCCTAAGCAGTGAGTGTTTACATCAAGGTCAGAAGACTTGCTTTGGGGCAGCAGGCTCCTGCTTCCGTGTGGATATTTCCACCCACAAGAGATACAGGTGGAACTTGAAAATTCCCTTCTCAATCTGTTCAGACTTTTCTTGAGACACTTACCAGTGACAATTACAATCCATTCGGAGAAAAACTGTTGAGTTATGTAGTTTTTATGTTTCTTAGTGAAGGCTGTATACCTGAGTTAAGAAAAAGCAAGATAAACTTTTTTTTTTAATTCTTAGAATTTAGAACTATTTGTGTGCAGGGTCAGTGCAGCGTGTTAGTTACAGGTGCAGACATCCTGGCTTTCCCACTCCCTGTGGTCACTTAATCACTCTCGGCCTCAGTTTCCTCGTACATCAGCTGGGAGCGATGACAGCACCGACCTCACAGAGCTGTGGCAAGTGAAATGGAGCAAAAAGTTGAGTGACGCTGTATATGAAGCGTAGAGATACAGTAAATGTTTTATAAAAGGTACCAGTTATTATTACCAAGTCAAGGCACAAGATGGAGAAGGATTATTTAGAATATCTTTTTCTTCCCCAGGGAATCCAAAGAATCAGTTATAATCTTCCCGGAAAAACAAAACAAAACAAAAAAAGGGGGTAAAAACAAACTAATGCAAATTGAGAGCCTAAGTCCACACAATGCGATCAAATAGGCAATAGTATCTTCTTTTTACACATAAAGTAAATTGAGGAGGAGAGAAGACTCTAGACCACTCACTCTTAACTCACAAGTACACGAGATTTATTCCGCTGGAAGTCCTCAAAGTTGACAAGTTGGGCCCTAAAGAATGAAAATAAAAGATTTGCTGGATATCTTTTTCTTTTACATTTTAAAGTAGCAGCTTTACTGAGATGTAATTCACATACCATAAGATACAGTCCTTTAAGTGTAGAATTCACTGACTTCAGTATATCCATAAGATTGTGCAACTATCACCATTAATTCCACATTCTCATAGTTGTTGGTGGTTTTGTTGTTTTGATGTGCACTTCCCAAATGGCATATGATGGTGAGCATCTTTTCATGTTCATTCGCCATCTGTTTATCTTCTTTGGTGAGATGTCCGTTCAGCTGGATCTTTTGCTCCTTTGTCTGAGGTCAGTTGACTGTATTTATGTGGGTGAGTCTTTCTGGGCTCTCTCTGCTGCTTTGTTGATCTTCTTGTCTATTCCTTCACCAATATCATACTGTCTTTACTAATGTAGCTTTATAGCAAGTTTTGAAGTTGGGTTCTCTCAGTCCTCCAACTCTGTTCTCCTTCAATATTGTGTTGGTTATTCTGTGTCTTTTGCCTCTCCATCTAAACTTTAGAATCATCTTGGTGATAGCCACAAACCTTGCTGGGATTTTGATCGGGATTGTATTGATTCTCTAGGTCTAATGAAGAGCTGACATTTTGACAATATCAAGTCTATCTAGCCACAAAAATGAAGTGTCTCTCCATTTATTTATTACATCTTTGATTTCTTTCATCAGAGTTTCATAGTTTCCCCCATATAGATCTTG